ACCCGAAACAATACGTTACCTACACCTTGTTAGTAACGATACAGTGTGGTCCAATGAAGGCGATCTTATTGCTAACTTTCTTATTATTGGAGAAACGGGGGTCAATCGGAGCATTTATTTTCTTATAGGATGACAATGACAAAATATCTTAGCATCCAGAAAATATCATTGAAACACCACGATATAATTACATATTTTGCAAGAAAATGAAGTCCTGGGTAACAGTAGCAAAATTTAGCCTATGTACAAGTATACCTATACTATTTAATGCAACAGTGAAAGTTTTGATAGGCCTAATAGAACATATCGTTAAAATTACACTGCAGTCGAGTTCACTGTTCTATTCTGTAACGCTAATAATTCGGAAGATATTCCTAAAAACTGAAAATTAATTATCAAGGAACAGGTTTCCTGTCATTATACTTAAACGAATGTAATACTATAAGTAAGCACCTTTTATTAGGTAGATTCAAGAAAGTGACATTTGTATTTCTATGGCACGCAGAGGACGGAAACCGCATTCATTGTGTGGCTTGCGCGCTTCCTTTCATAATATTATGCGAATCTGTGAACTACGCGTATTATTTCGTTAAATGTTCCCTAAAAATATAAAAAAGAATTACCCTTATGTGCGTTCTTAAAAAAACTTGTAATTGTGGTTCCTTGATTTTGGCCTTTTATCACTTTGTGTTAAAGAATTCTGGTGTCCTACATTAAAATCCAAATTAATCGAAGACCTGATTCAATTGATAGTAACCAACGAATTCTTTTGGGCAATTTAGATTTCCATTTTTCACCAAACTATGAAGGAAATGGTATACAAGCTTCAATCAAAATTTATTTATCTCCGAAACTACCACCTACTGGCCACCAGTCTAACCTATAACAAAAATCATCAGCATTTTTATTGCCACGCCCAAGGTGGAGGTAGAGGTGAATGCTAAAACTACTTCCCCCTAGCTAAATGGACTTTTTTGCAGTTTTTGTTTTTTTAATCAAAATTATAAATTATAATCGGTCGGCGCAGGTGCTAATTTATGGATGAAAAATGATCCATCGTATTTTGTGTAAATACTAAAATTTGTATATAAGTAGAATAAAAGAGAGAATGCATGGCATTCCGCCCTTTCGAGTTAAACTTTACCGAGTTCAATTTTACACTCCACTGGAATCTGGATACTAGAGCTAAAGGATCATCAAAGATTTCAAAGTTAACGAGAATGGGTGCACTAAGCTTTTCCGGGTTTACTATAACATTTTATTGAGAATAATGTTTCATTTAGTACAGCCTTTATTGGTAGGTACCATATGAAACAAGTATATTAATTTAATCCTACAAATTTCGCTTCAGATTATTGCGGGGGTTGTAGAAATAATAGAAAGTTTCACTTAAAGTTCTCTATAACGCATATCAGTATCATATGTTCAGAACTTTATAGAATGTTAATGTAATTGTTTGAGTTAGCGACCATTTTGATATTTGCCTCTAGCAATTTGTTGAAACGTAAAATAATTTCGGGAATGGTTGCTCGTACTTTTTTGCAATTTATTTGTAAAAGTAGCTTTTCAATCTCACTTTGGCTGGCTGGCTGGCTGGCTGGCAGCAAATGTGGGCGCGTAGAAGAACTCTTGTAGAAAGGCAACGGGTGTACGTGTATCTACAGGGCCGTGAAATTTGCCAACCTTAGGGACATGGCTAAATGATGTGGGGTTGGCGACATCTGGCCGTCATCCTCGAGCGTAGTATACTAACGTGAAGGTTTTTCAGTTTTTTCCTATCTTCTACTACAGTTTTGGTCCGATTCTTTTGAAATTGGTGTCGTCGGAAAGATGTTGTAAACGCGCACAACTCCTGCGTGGCGGAATTTTGTTTTTTGTCATAGGGGCGAAATTAACGACCTTTTGCGAGGCGCGCGCGCGCGTCTTCGAGAAGTAGTCACTTCTGGCGCCTTTTACCTTCCGTTGCGAACTCACGCGGTTTAACGTTTCGTAAATCTCGAATCGCTGTCTCTCTTTCTCGTGTCGCCAATAGAAGTGAATTGCGAGTGAACGGGACGTCGGAAGTGGGTACCGTAAAAGAGAATGTGGTAGCCCGCGACACGATCTCACTGATGGTGGAGTCAAATCTTCAATCGCGAATTGCGGGTGAACGGGACGTCGGAAGGGGGTACCGTCAAAGGAAATGTGGTAGCCCCCGACACGATCTTCCTGATGGTGGAGTCAAATCTTCAAACGCGAATTGCGGATGAACGGGACGTCGGAAGGGGGTACCGTCAAAGGAAATGTGGTAGCCCCCGACACGATTTTCCTGATGGTGGAGTCAAATCTTCAAACGCGAATTGCTGGTGAACGGGACGTCGGAAGGAGGTACCGTCAAAGGGAATGTGGTAGCCCCCGACACGATCTCCCTGATGGTGGAGTCAAATCTTCAAACGCGAATTGCGGGTGAACGGGACGTCGGAAGGGGGTACCGTCAACGGGAATGTGGTAGCCCCCGACACGATCTTCCTGATGGTGGAGTCAAATCTTCAAACGCGAATTGCCGGTGAACGGGACGTCGGAAGTGGGTACCGTAAAAGGGAATGTGGTAGGCCGCGACACGATCTTCCTGCAAACACGAATTGCGGGTAAACGGGACGTCGGAAGAGGTACCGTCAAAGGGAATGTGGTAGCCGCCGACACGATCTTCCTGATGGTGGAGTCAAATCTTCAAACGCGAATTGCGGGTGCGCGCGGAAAGTGGGAAGCGGTTAGCTACTAGCCTTCGACAAGATCTGTTATTGATGATTGAGTCGAAAGTGGCTAATAGAATACTGATCTGCCACACAAGAATGCGCTGAAGTCCCTTCGATCTCAAACGAGGACTTTGATAATTTTTTCCTATCTTCTACTACAGTTTTGGTCCGATTCTTTTCAAATTGGTGTCGTCGGAAAGATGTTGTAAACGGGCACAACTCCTGCGTGGCGGAATTTTGTTTTTGTCCTAGGGGCGAAATTAACGACTATTTGCAAGGCGCGCGCGCGCGTCTTCGAGAGGTAGTCGACTTCGGGCACTTTTTAGCGCATTTTTGCAAATTTATTTGTAAAAAGTAGCTTTTAATCTCACTTTGGCTGACTGGCTGGCTGGCTAGCAGCAAATGTGGGCGTGTAGAAGAACTCTTGTAGAAAGGCAACGGGTGTACGTACGGTGTACAAGGCCGTGTAATTTGTCAACCTTAGGGACAGGGTTACATGATGTGGGGTGGCGATATCTGGGCGTCATCCTCGAGCGTATTTTACTAACGTGAAGGTTTTTCAGTTTTTCCTATCTTCTACTACAGTTTTGGTCCGATTCTTTTCAAATTGGTGTCGTCGGAAAGATGTTGTAAACGCGCACAACTCCTGCGTGGCGGAATTTTGTTTTTAGTTCTAGGGGCGAAATTAACGACCTTTTTCAAGGCGCGCTCGAGCGTCTTCGAGAGGTAGTCAACTTCGGGCGCCTTTACCTTCCGTTGCGAATTTTGTCACGCGGTTTAACGTTTCGTAAATCTCGAATGGCTGTCTCTCGTGTCGCCAATAGAAGCTCGAGCAATGAGAAGTGCCCCCCAAAAATTAAGTACTATCTTGTGGAAGGTTGTTAGCGAGATCCGCCAAAATGTGGGTGTAATATAAGTATGCACCGAAAAAGCAAATTTGGTAGCCTCCGACAAGATCTAACTGATGGTGGAGAAAAATCTTCAAACGCGAATTGCGGGTGAACGGGACGTCGGAAGTGGGTACCGTCAAAGGGAATGTGGTAGCCCCCGACATGATCTTACTGATGGTGGAGTCAAATCTTCAAACGCGAATTGCGGGTGAACAGGACGTCGGAAGTGGGTACCGTCAAAGGGAATGTGGTAGCCCCCAACACGATCTTACTGATGATGGAGTTAAATCTTCAAACGCGAATTGCGGGTGAACGGGACATCGGAAGTGGGTACCGTCCAAGGGAATGTGGTATCCTTCGACAAGATCTTTTATTCATGGTTGAGCCAAAAGTGGCTAATAGAATACTGATCTGCCACACAAAAATGCGCTGAAGTCCCTTCGATCTCACACGAGGACTTTGATAATTTTTACCTTCCGTTGCGAATTCTGCCACGCGTTTTAACGTTTCGTAAATCTCGAATGGCTGTCTCTCTTTCTCGTGTCGCCAATAGAAACTCGAGCAATGAGAAGTGCCCCAAAAATTAAGTACTATCTTGTGGAAGGTTTTTAGCGAAATCCACCAAAATGTGGGTGTAATATAAGTATGCACCGAAAAAGGAAATGTGGTATCCTCCGACAAGATCTAACTGATGGTGGAGTCAAATCTTCAAACGCGAATTGCACGAGATCGTAGTTCGTTTCAAGATTTTGTCTTCCTTGAAATACATTTTATATTTTGAAGCAGGTACAAGATATCGATATCGACAGTTCCTTTCACCATGTTGCGTTTATCTGAATCTATGGCAACGAAGTAAATGTTATCTGTTTGTGGTTTTCGTTGTTTCTTTGACCACATGTATTATCTCGTGTGAATCTCAGAAAGGTTGTACAGTTTCTTTTAATTTTATAAGATATATAAAAAAGGTAAAAATAGTTTTATTCTAGATTGTCTTACCTATGTAAATTAGGTAACTCTTGACAACGAATTCTGAAACCTTACTTAGGAAACGTTGCATCAATACCACCAATAATGAAGTATGATTGGTATAATTACAAGAGCCCCCATAATTGAAATAGTAATGAATTCTGTTTAGTATGTACAGTGTTATCCTTCAATAAATGACCATTATTAATAATATAGCATAAGTTTGATTTGCTTCAGTAGAAACTTTCAATTTATCTATTCTTATGAATTCTGCCTTATACCTACAGTTTGCTTTCCTGCAAGTCGTAAGTACTTTAACTACCGGTTTCCCCTACGCTACACAAGGCCTCTATTGTGCAGTGGACAGAAAAACCGTTAAGCGGTTAAGCGACTCATTCTTAAACATTCGTTCGTAACGTACAACTGGTACTTACACTGTAATAGTCGCGAATTCAATCTGTCTAGGTCAGAATTATCAGTATCGTACGTCAGTATTCCAATTGAGTAACGCTTTGGCAATATTTATTGATTGCACTATCATACATTTGAGTTGATTAAATCGTAAGTGGTCAGTTAACAACGATACAGTGCCAAATTAACATACTCGAAATTAAGCCGTTTTTAACAGACTGTAACAATGCCCGAAATTAAAGGTGTAGTTAATGGAAATGATAACCATGACGAACACGACCATTCTTACAATAAAGTAAATGGTGAAGAGTTTCGGAATGGGAATTGCCAGGAATACTGCTGCCCTGGCAACAAATGCACCGCAGAAAATAATCGGTAACATTTTCAAATTTAATTTATAATTTTTTTGCATCGCTTCTTAGGCGTATATATTAAATTGAAGTATTTATTGCAGATATCCCGATGGATCCGTTAGGCTTAGAAATCCTCACATTGAACTCATGGATCAGGATATTCTTTACCATTTGGCGCTGGGCAGTGAATCCCATGATCTGGTCGAAATGTTTGGAGACGTTAAGGTAAAAGTGGAATTTTTGCTTTAGTTTTGTTTAGAATTCAATGTTATCATACACAAACAAGCAAAAAGTGTCTCAATTATTTATATGACGCATTCTTGTTATGGAAATTTTCAAATTACGTATAATTCTCAAAATGAAACACTGAGATAATTATGGGCATTACGTTTATTAGCTGCGCGTTTTACACATCAGAACGTAAAAACCGTAGAAACATTGAATAAGGAGTGTTACCTCGATTGTTACTCAATGGCAATGGTAAAATTGCGTTACGTGCCGCAACATTCATTAATTAGATAATACGAGCGCTCTACGTAACAGTACACTGCAGTTGTGCCATAATGGACATAAGGGATTGCATAAGAAACTATTCAGTAAAAGTACAATATAAAATTCAGAGGATGGAGATTTTATGAAATGATCTTTTAATCTCTCTTCTCGATTAACACCAGCCTATTGATTAATCTACTGTAACATTGACATTGCTTTAACCTAACAACACAAAAAATTATGGAAAGTAGCAATCATAGTTTTCTAATGCTTCCGCAAGCATGATTCTACAAAAAAGTATAACCTCGAACATTCAGTGTCGACATGTTCTGCTCTCATAAACTTATATATCTTAGACCCTACTTTTTAGCGCATTTTACCAAATTACGCCTGTACCCAGTCCATCTGGTCATTCTCTTCTTCCAAGGAATACAGTTATCATTTTCTAAATAAACATTGACTAAGAAATGGTCCTACCGTCCTAGCCTAGGTATGTTTCGGTTTTTCTAAAAAACTGAAAAGGTAGCGGTAGGTACAATTGCTACCTCCGTTATTCAAATTACATTATACTGAAAGCTCCCAGTTGCTATCGATCTAAAATTTTTAATAAAGTAAAGGTTCTTTATATCAGATGCTGCAGAAAAATGTGCAATTCAGAGAGTCGCGGTGCGGGTGAGAGGGGGACTACATTAGTAGAGAGCGAGTCTATCTATATGGAGCTACATTCATGCGCTTTCAGTTGAAAGCAGTGCTGTGCAAAAAAAACCATTAATCCATAATCTTCGATAATTATTGATTAAGCGATAATTAGTCATTTAAAAGTAGTGCTGTACAAAAAACGATTAATCGATAACGATAACTTATCGATAATTATCAATTGCTCAACAATGAAACTAAAAAGATAGATAATATTATCGAGAGACATAAATATGAGAGATCCATTTTCAATTTTTTTACCAGTTTACGAGAAGCAAAAGCGTAGTAGAGTAGAGTTGACATGATAAAATGTGATCACAATTCACAGCCTACTTCAGGCTGGTATACCTGAATTAAATATTAAGTATTATCAGTATTATGCTTATTACTCTCGCCAGGAAAAATTGCCGGTTACAGCACACCTTTCTGTCGGTCTACACTACAATCTATTCAGCGAAAAGTCTTTTCGTTCAACATTGACACGATACTATCGCGGAAGTCGCTCGCATCTTAAGAACATAGATTGTAGACCGGGATCAGGTATTCTGTGATCGGAAATCTTTCCTGGCGAGAGGTTTAATTACCGTTTCTGTTAAAAACTAATAACTTTGAGGATGTTGAAGGACTAGACTAGAACCTGCCTTTCGCGCTCCTTCGTCACTATCTTGCGAATAAGAAAGCAATCTACAATTGTTCTACAACCAATCCTCGATGCTCACGACCATGTCTGAGTCAATGCTCCCAACTGAAAGGGTATGACCGCAGCTGCAGGTAGACTCGCACCCCATTCAAATAGCTTCTCGCCAGTGGTGTAGTGGTAAGGTAAGGGTATACGCAGGCGTCGGTTTGAACGCGAGTTATGGAATACCTGGAGTACCTACCCTTGGGAGGAGTTCCAAGGGGTTTAAAAAAGTTTCGTAATTTTGTACAAAACAGGGTTTTTTGTTTTTTGAAGTTCGTAGTCTACCAAATTAAGGACACTTCCTCAACAATAACCTCGACAATAACTATAAAAATGTTCAAAACCATAGAACGTATTTGTTTTATTTTTATTTTGCTTTTATTTTTATATTTACATTTATTATATATACAATGGTATTAAGAATGATTGTTATAATCGTACATAAGTATTATAAATTGTTATAACATTTCTCAAAAGAAATTCGCGTGCCCTATCTGCGAACGTAGGGGGAATAAATTTTTTCATCTAGTGTCATCTGCTGATCGATGTTCTTCGGGCGGTGGGGCGCTAGAAACTGCTGGGAACTCCAGACTCTCTGGATTTTCAAAACTGGTTACCCAGAAGTTACGGTAACAGTAACAACAGGTTCTAATGTAATCAGCGTAAAGAATAACACGCCATTATCAGTACAAGATTTTCAGCAATGTTTTAAAGTTAGTATGCGCTCGTATATTTACGTATTTAGCAAATTGTCATTTCTACTATGAGATCAAAAATGAGTTGCTCTCGAGTCACCTTTGGAATTTTTGTTTACATGTGAAATCGTATTTCATTTGAACCTCCAAAGGCGACTCGACAGCAACTCATTTTTGATCGCCCGTTATACAACTTTTAAACATACGGCGTATACCCGCGTATACCCTCCAATACAGCACTGTCAGACCCTCGCTCACTCGCTCTATCACCCAATGAAATCGGGCACGTCCGACGGCGCCTGGTGGTTTGTTCGTCTGTTAGTTCATGTTTAGCTACTTTTGACTGGGAGGTGCTACCATTTCGTATTCAAGCAGATTTGTTACAGTAGCGGATCTTTTACATAGACAATGCATTTCATCAATTATTTATTATTAGATAAATATTCTATTTTGTTAGAGCGGGAGCTTTCATAAAAAATACGGATATGGAATTGAAAAAAAGAGATTTTCCTTCATAGTATTATAACCTATTTCGTATACCTAACGGTCAAATGGTGCACTTGAGCAATGCGTTTATAGTTCTATCCGACGCAAACTTTTAAAGAACTGCACCATAGTAATATGGGTATGAAAGGACAAAGGATGTCCATGAACTTGGCAGGCCTACTACAGCAGACCATGGTTCTGCTTACTCATATCGTTAGTGTTCCGTTAGTGCACGTTAGTGCCGCTGAAGAAATCGTTAGTGCACAAAAGGAAACTTACATTTTAAAATATATATGTGGTCCTGCTAACTTCATGCCAGCAGACCAGTGGCGTCGCTAGAGTACGATGCGCCGGGTAGCAAAACAATTAATGCGCCTTTCTCCAAAAATAAAAAATAAAGATTTTAGCAATTTATTTTAGTACGCATACACATGCAGGTGCAGGGCAATAATGATAACGTTCAATGCTTCGCATCGCATCCTTGCACGTGCACCTCGCATGACTTCATTTAGTTGAAATGTGATATTGTCAAGTTTCGAGATACAATAGGCCTTTATGTTAAATAAAGGTCTTTCTTTTATACATAAGCTTACAGGTTTACTGTATCACAGTTAGATAATTAAATTTAAATCTTGTAAGATTATTTTTGTTGAATTTTTGCTACTCTGATTAATCCCAACCGCGATGTAAATGTAAGTAATATAATAAATAAACCAATAAACGATACTAACCGCGGCGCCTTTCGGTACTTGGCGCCGGGTAGCAATTGCAACCCCTACTACCCCGATAGCTACGCCACTGCAGCAGACCCATTTAAGAAAATCGATGAAAGCTTTACACTAGTTAAACTAGCAGCGTTAGTGCTCGTTAGTGCCGCCAATATAAACGTTAGTGCTCAAAGTGTAACAGCTCAAAACGTTGTAAAAAGGGGTCTGCTAACTACATGCAGCAGACCCGCATTTGTCAAATTGGCCCTGTCCTAATGCGAATTTGAAGTAGCTCGTTAGTGCTTCACACGCGAACGTTAGTGCTGCAAGGGCGCCGCACCAAAAAGGTACCAAATCACCTCAAAATTAAACGTGGCTTATTGGGACCTGCCAACTTCACGCCGGTAGACCAACAAACGAAATATGTTTGATTTTTTACTTTAATCGATCTATCAGTATTAGCATTGAATAAAAACACTATAAGAAGCCTAACGCTTATGGAAGAAAGCGCGACATATCCCCTTGTACCCGCATTGGTTGGGGCCCCGAACTATAACCTTTGAGGTAAATAGGGGGAAAGCAAATTTTCATTCTTCTCAGTTCAAGAATCGACACTATTGACAGTGTTCCCATTATATTCTCAGTTCAATCTCTGTCGCGCTTTATTTCCACGGGGTTATGCTTCTTATAGTGTTTTTATTCAATGGTATTAGTGATCGTTAGTGTCGCGAAAAAAACGTTAGTGCTCAAAGCGCAAGAGCTCAAGCGTGAAATTATGGGTTTGCTAAATTCATGCAGCACGCCCACATTTATTAAAGTGGTCCTGCCTTAATGCGAATCTGAAGCTCCTCGTTAGTGCTCGTTAGGACTTCACTTGTAAACGTCAGTGCTTTTAATGGATCCGTGTCGAAAAACTACCAAAGCATCTTAAAAATTAACTATAACTTTTAGGTTCTGCTGACAACACAACAACTAGCAAAATTTGTTTCCAATCCAAAAAAAAGTCGAAGAGAATGAACGAAATGTATTTTGGAACTATTTTTAATTTTTTTAGCAGACCCCTTTTTACAACGTTTTGAGCTGTTACACCTTTGAGCACTAACGTTTATATTGGCGGCACTAACGAGCACTAATACTTACCGGTCGATTAAAGTAGAAAATCAAACGGATTTCGTTCGTTGGTCTACTGGCGTGAAGTGGGCAGGTCCCAATAAGTCAAGTTTAATTTTGAGGTGGTATGGTACCTATTTGGTGCGGCTCCCTTGCAGCACTAACGTTTGCATGTGAAGCACTGACGGCCACTAACGAGGTGCTTCAAATTCGCATTAGGACAGGGCCAATTTGACAAATGCGGGTCTGCTGCATGAAGTTAGCAGACCCCTTTTTACAACGTTTTGAGCTGTTACACTTTGAGCACTAACGTTTATATTAGCGGCACTAACGAGCACTAACGCTGCTAGTTTAACTAGTGTAAAGATTGCATCGATTTTCTTAAATGGGTCTGCTGGCATGAAGTTAGCAGACCCACAAATATGGTCTGCTGTAGTAGGCCTGTCAAGTTCATGGAAATGATGAAAGGTCTCTATTGGGTTTATCATTGAATAAAAACCACATTTATTCAATGGTAATAGTACGTACAACAATTTAAATCCATTGAATTTTGTTTACATTTGCCCCTAACGCTAACCTTATTATCAATGTATTACTGATATACAGGGTGACAATTTGAAAACTTACCACCCCCCATATCTTAGTAAATAAACGAGATATTTAAAAAAATCAAAATCCGTTTCGGTAATTCGGAGGGGGAATCACAATGACATAGTTGGCGACGCACCCCCTCACACCCCCTGCGCCCCAGCCACCCCAACTTTAAATCTTAAATAGTGACCCCCCACGTGTGATACGTCGTTGGAAAGCTCTGAAAAAATGCTTTCCAACCATACCAAATAGCATTACATTTAGGTTAGTAATTATCGTGGAAATCAAAAAATAGACATGGAAAATCGTATTTAACTTGAACTTCCAAAGCCGACTCGACAGCAACTCATTTTTGATCGCCAGTTGTAATCTATTCTCAAACTCTTGTCGAACCTTTCCTATGTTGGTTTTGCAATATTTCGACATTCTTGAATTATTCTCTGTCTTAGTTCGTCTAATGTTCGCCGGTTGCGTTTTAAATACGACAGATTTCAAATGTATCATATTAGTTTATTTTTTGATTTGCACGATAATTACTAACCTAAATGTAATGCTATGTGGTATGGTTGGAAAGCATTTTTTCAGAGCTTTCCAACGACGTATCACACATGGGGGGTCACTATTTAAGATTTAAAAGTTGGGGTGGCTGGGGCGCAAGGGGTTGGAGGGGGTGCGTCGCTAACTATGTCATTGTGATTCCCCCTCCGAATTACCGAAACGGATTTTGATTTTTTTAAATATCTCGTTTATTTACTAAGATATGGGGGGTGGTAAGTTTTCAAATTGTCACCCTGTATATTTATATATAGTTTGTTCTCATTTATTAAGGACAACTAAATTCCATAACAAAAATAATGCCGCTGATATGACACTATTCATATAATCACAGATTTCTGCGATAAATCATAACGTGTGAATTGTATTATTATTATGGGAAGGATGCCTTATCATTGATTCATATAAATAATTGATTATGTGAGTTCATTCTCATCGATTATCCTGAATAAGATTATTTCATAATTGATTAATAAAAGTCCATTATGGTTATTTATTAATCAGCTAATAATCAATTGAATCGACTATTGTTATAGTAATCGATTATCGCTCACCCCTGGACTGATTTGGTGAAGCGAAATGCGACCACTCATTTCAAATTCATCGACCTTATTGAGAATCCAGGTTTTATTAATTTTTATTATCCTTTCAGTTTGTATGTATGGGCGGAACTCCTAAACGGATGGAATCGTTTGCGAACTTTATTATGGAGGAAATTGGACATAAACTCCCCACTGGAACAACTTTATTGGATATTAGTCAATATTCCTATCGGTATTGCATGTATAAGGTTGGACCCGTTCTTTCCATTAGTGTAAGTCAAACTTCCTACTGAGTTTATACTCGGGAGTCAACTGAAATATTTTACAGCACGGAATGGGAGTGCCATCAATTAGTATTTTACTTCACGAAATTATTAAATTAATGTATCACGCGAAAGTCAAGGATCCTATATTTTTCCGGATCGGTACTTGTGGAGGAATTGGTTTAGAAGGTGGAACCGTTGTTGTTTCCGAAGAAGCAGTAGACGCAATGATGAATAATTATTATGAAGTGGTAGGTTTTCTTTAAAAGTCCCAATTTTTGTACCAACTGTGTTGAACATTTTTAGCCAATGCTCGGTAAACTTGTAAAGCGCCCTGCAAAATTTGATCGGAAACTCGTCAGAGAATTGAAGAATTTAGCAGACCCTGAAGACCCCTATGTAACAACTTCTGGAAAAACCATGTGCACTTGTGATTTCTACGAAGGTAAAAACAGATGAGACTTGAGAACTTTTATGCTAGATTTCTTTCAGGACAAGGAAGGACAGATGGTGCATTTTGTGAATACACTGAAGCAGATAAAATGGAATATTTGCAGCAAATACGGAACCAAGGCGTAGTGAACATAGAAATGGAAGCAATCCCTTTTGCTGCCCTTACCCACCATGCTGGTATTAAAGCCGCCATCGTTTGCGTTACACTGCTAGACAGGCTGAAGGGTGATCAGGTAGTTAGTTTCAAACCGTTACGTAATTAAATTCTACACAAATCTTATAGGTAATGGCACCAAAAGAAGTAGCAAACGAATGGCAAATTCGACCACAGAAGCTAGTCGCGCGTTATATTAAAAGATATTTGCAAATGAAAGGACGAACATCTTTTGAAGGACATGGATCAATGAGCGTAAAAAGCCCGCGCCGTTTTAAATTGGTGCAGCAAGAATCGGAAACGTTTGAGTAGGTAATGTTAGCAAATTTATGAATTTATTTATTGTGGCTTTCCATGTTATCAATGTGATTTAAAGTTAACTAATGAAACATATCATAAACGAAACATGTGTATCACTCTTTGGCGTCGTAAACCGAACTTTAATCTTAAATAATTATGGAAGTAGCAGGTAGTAGATATGTATCCTTTTGCTTAGCCGTTATTGTTGAAATTCATAGCTAGACTAGTGAAATATTTATGACGTATCACTGCGCCATGCCAAAGAGGAGGGCAGGCTAAAATTCAGAATAGAGCAATATTGGGGTTCTCTTCTTATTCCTCTTAGGCATGGCAATGTGTGATATTTGATCGGTAGGTATAATTAACAGTATCATGTTTGAACGGAAATTTTTGACAATATACATGACTTATGTAATTATAAACATTTGTTACTTAGAAGAAAAATGTATAGACAACGATTACAAACATGGTGATATGTAAAATTACAGCCTAAAGTTCTGAATATTACCTTTCGATTTCTTGTATTTCGAAGGTTTAGAAATGTATAAATTATTAAGCGAACCAAGTTGTTAAAGTATTACTTTATTTATAAACTGTTATAATGTATAAGACCTATTACTAAATAAAACAAGTTAAGCATACTGAATTGATAGCTCAATTAGCAACTGTGTTAATTGTATATACATATTTATGTACGCAGCAACTTCCTCTTTATCAAAATTTTACTTTTGAAATATGTTAACGTTGTATAACTGCATTAAAGTTTTAATGTTTCAAAAACTGCCTACTGTTTATATACACACTTTTTGTATCAATGTACTTATTCTTGTTGTATAATCTCTACTTCGTATATTACAGATATTTAATGTAACAAAGTTAAAGCTTTGCAAAATTACCTATTAAATAAATGTCTGATGTTATAAGGAAGGTTTTGTTTTGTGAAGGTCAAAGCTTCCCTATGCTTTCTACCGCTACCATTTTATGACATTAGGGGACTAGGTGTGTTTATATCATGTTAGGGGACTGATGGGCTACTGGGTCATATGGAACTGTTTACAGGAGGATACTTTTTCATTAGCACTGAAAATACTTCGCCGAAAAAGTACTCACTACGCAAGGTTTAGATATGCCCAACGTCTGCGAAATGTATTGGACACGAATTCTAACGAGAGACTGTATATCGAATATACAGTATCCTGGTGTAAAAGAGCTAAATTGTCAAAACAGGTTAAATTATCCAATGTTGGCATTAATATAATTTGTCAAATTTAATGCCCTGGAATTCTTCATTAAATTTTCTCGCATAGTGTTACACCCCCGTTGTACCTACTTTAGTCCCACATTTCGCGTGGCTACTTTGACTTTTGTATGTGAACGAAGGTAGGGAGATAAATAGATATAGACGATGTCGTAAGCAGGTAATATATTTGGCGCCGTAATGATTATTCTTTTTTCAGTTATGTAATAAAGAAATCGTAACAAACGTTACCTGGGATACGTTTATATACGAAGATATAGTGATTAAATTTCAGCGTAGTACAAAGGGTCTAGCCTTTGAATATAGAATTAGATTCAAAGGTCTAGCTTAGCTGTAACAATTGAATATAAAGCAATAACTTAAACGCATAACTATATTATGTAACTTCAACTTGTAGTTACTTCAAATGAGCAGGTCGTTAGTCCTCTTCTTCATCTTCTCCAGATACTGCATTTGTAATTTGTTGTATCAGTCCATCTAGTTGACCCGATAAGTCTACCAATTCCGATTCTATGTCTTCAATTCTCTGATTTTGCCTAAAATTCAGAGAATAGATAATTGTATGAATTAATCTCTCACATCTTACTCTAGAAACTCTGATTCCAGTATAATAGGTGTTACTTTCGCAGCAGCAATCTTTTTCGGAAGATCAGGCATCGCTAGAAATAAATCCTAAAAGATTGGCGAAGATGTTGCGACAGGAAATAACATTACAAAAACATCAAAACCTCATTTTGAGGTTTTTATATTGGGAAATTGTATTCAAAAGGTTTTTGGGTACTCACGAGGCACTTCATAAACATTGCGATCCCCTTCCTTCATCAAGAGCAGCACATCAATTTTTGTATTCTTCTTGTAATAATCGCCACCGCATTTATATATGACTCCCATAATATCGGGCTCGGTATAACCACAGCTAAAACATGTGTTGGGTACTAAACGTTTGCGTTTTTTGGAAAATTATAGTATTACATAGAATAAAGTTTGAAAGCAGTAGGTATACTTAGTAGGAGACAGTTGGAACCAAAAAAGCATGTTGGTTATAATCATTGTAGGTATACTATACTAAATAGGTACCTACTACACGACGATTATAACATTGTACCTATAATAAAACGGTGGTAATCAGGGACGGACCTAGACAAGAAAATTGGGGGGGCAGACATGACATTTTGCCAACTCAACTGTAAAAATTTCCAACTCAAACGGGTAGTATCTATTAAGTATTAAGTGCGGTATTTCCAAGTCTAATAAATCATGTGGAAAATGTAGGATATCAGTATACGGTCTCTAATACTAATTAAAAGCATTACCAAAATACCAACCTTGTGTTGAAGAAGGAAGTGACTTTCCTATTAAAGAGTCTTTTTTTATAGATTTTGCCGCAATTCCTCATTCCTTCAATGGTCGATTTATTACATTTACGATTTACCTACTTTCGCGGCATTCGCCAACTGGTAATGAAAATTACCAACTCTTGTCAAAATTGCCAACTAGTTAAGTGTTGGAGGGGCAGCCTGCCCCCCCCCCTTGCCCCCCCATAGGTCCGTCGCTGGTGGTAATAATACTAGTACTTATAAGTTTCGATGTAGTATCAGCGATTATATACGCTTCTATATAGTGCAGTCTAACTATCCACCTGCTTTAATATTTCCCACAGTACTTACGCCTTTAGGATCGTTTCAGCTCTATGAACAGTGATATAATAATGTTTGGGATGCAAGATGGATTGTGGAACAAATATTCTAGTGATCACAAATTTGTTCAAAATGCTATACAGTGCCGTTGTCATTAATTGGCCTCTTTTACTTTTTTCTCCTATAACCATTTCGACTTTGCAATCGGCATACGCATCATTCACGATTGCCAAAAACATGTTCTAAATTAAAAAAGTGTTTACAACTTTGAATTCCTCAAAAGCAACACTGTTACTTACCATTAAAATATAAAATACGACGAATATGTAGGAAATGAAGAATATTGGCGCGAAAATTCGATCCGCTTCGTCCAGTTCTGCGTAGTTAAAGTCTCCCAAAACTGTTCGAAATAGCGTAATCATTGATGTGATGAACCCGGAAAATCGCTTTACCTAAGTGCAAAATGAAAGTAGAATATGATTTTATTATTTCTTAATTTCTTAAATAAATTGCCTCGTAAATTGCAATATCGGGTGCGAATTAGTGCGAATATGTAACCCCGCCTATTTGGTATGGCAATCTTGTGTGAAAGATAATATCGATGAAATAATGTTTGTGAAGGTTTTGGTATCTCTGCATAATTTCACCTTTTATGCAGATGCACCGGTTTTTCAACAAACGTCTTTGCATTTTTATCAGCCCATTCATATCCGACAATTCTTTCTCATTTCCAGACAACGAATTCTCGTTGAATTGGTCGCGAAAAAATTGCAACCCTATAAAAGGAACCAATTTACTCTCGAACTTTTTCTAAATTCAATGTACAAAAATTTGTTTTTGATTGTACTGCCCCGCCCTGCCATTTTCGGAAAGTACTTGATAGAGGATAAATAATTTGTTTCCAGTTGCTTCAGAAACTAGTGACGTAGACATCATCTCTGATGCAAACTACTTTAGTTACAAACAAAAGCTCGCTTTATTGGTGAAAAAATTAAATCAACTTTTTCCGAATGTTCCGAATCGACTTCTCGGACTTAGAAAAGCGATTAAAAATTTTAGTAGCACGGCAGGTGAATAATTTGTGGTATCGAACTTGGAATAAACTAAAAAAATATAGAAAACGAGCTCCTGGGTATGGCTATAGCATGTGCAAAACCAAATTTTAAACATGATCTTAGTTTTGCTTTTATTTAAAGTGTATACCTATACAGGGTCGTGACTTGCGTGACGCATCATAGGGATTTCAATGTAAAATTCATAACCTGCGATTATTGGCTCCCCAAATGATTTTAGAGCAAAAATGTATTAAGGTTTTTTGTAGAAAAAAATTTTTTACGTCAATCAACCGTATTAGTTTTCAATTTTTTGCATAATAAAGACGGAAAATTGGAAAAATAAAACCCACATCTTTATCAATAATCTGCGATGCCATGGAATTTTCTAAAACAAAAAGATATCAAGTTATCAATTAGCACTTAGCAGCAGTTCGAAATGGATCGACTTGGTTACTGTCTTGCAGTTAATGGTGACTTATTCGAACATTTATTGTAAATTGTTATATTAGGAAACCGTTTTTAGTAATTTGGTCTTTATTTATGTTGAATTGGTAGATGTATAATATAATACTTTTTGATCGAATTTGAATTGTTTTATAGCAGACATTCCGTGGCATGAAGGATATTGGCGTAGTTTTGTATTACAAAATTCCATGGCATCACAGATTATTGAAAAAGATGGGGGTTTTATTTTTCCAATTTTCCGTCTTTATTATGCAAAAAATTGAAAACTAATACGGTTGATTGACGTAAAAAATTTTTTTCTACAAAAAAACCTTAATACATTTTTGCTCTAAAATAATTTGGGGAGCCAATAATCGCATGTTATGAATTTTACATGGAAATCCCTATGATGCGTTACGCAAGTCACCCACCCTGTATATGAAATTTCATTTCATTGTAGTAGACGAATGTATTACACTAATTTTTATTGAAATATGTTAGTTGGTCGCTATCGAAATCGGACGGCCTCGTCCATCATCAGGCGATACTGTAAACCATTGGTGTTAGTATAATTATACTAAATTATTATAGTGTAGCACATAAATACAATATACCAGACCTGCGAGTGTTGTAGCTTTTTTCAAAATGAGAAAAGTCCCTAAGATTGAAATGAAATCACGGAGAATCTCACATATTAGTACTTTTTCTACAGTTAAGGTATCTGGCCACGACATTACCTCCCACACTATTGCATTAAAAAGCGGGTAGTAGTTGCTTTTTTATAACCAGTTACGAAATTACTAACTTAGTACGACTAATTTCGCAGCTAGGTAGTTAAGACAACATCAGTCATACTTTACACAAAAAAGTACCTGCGATCCAAAGAGTAAATAACCAAGCTCGGCGTAAGCAAAAAATACTATGACAAACATAAGTGTGTATCCAGAAATTCCACTTCTGCACTAAAAACAAAATTACCCCTAAACTGGAATTAACTTAAAATTACTCACGTATTTTAAAGTACTGTTTAATTGGCCCATCTTTCTGTTAAATCCAAAATACTTGAACAGCTTAATGCATTGTAGAAACAATACACACGCTATACAGAAATCGAACTGCACTTGATAATCGGTGGCTTCTTCAAAGTTACCATATTCTGGTTCGAAAGTGACAATACGCAGTTTTTTTATTGCCGCATCGGTGGCAAATTGTCTCAATAGGTTTAAAGGGATAAGGGCGTACGATAACTAAAATTAAACAACATGTTAGAATGAGATAGTGTACGTATGCACTGTTCACTAACCAACAAGGATGTTAAATCGACGTAATTCCAAAAGTTTTTGACATATCGTATTCTAAAAAATACTATCTCTTCAATTTCTTCTATTGTGAAATATACTAGAAGAAGTAGATACGCTCCTTCGAAAACAAATAGGGTAATTCTCTTGTCCGTTTGATATCGTAGGAGATACGCGGGCCTAAATGATACAGACGGCAGTACTCCTCCAGTTGGTGGAAACTCAAACACAATTCTGAAAAATACTGTATTAAATATACAATAAACATCTCTTATTATTAACGATACTCGAGATCGTTTATAATTTTGTATTGCTGTCTGTCTGTCCGTGTGCACGATAACTTTGTGTAGAAACGTCCGATCGCTTTGAATTAATACGCATGTTCCTCAGGATATAAGAAAGATCGCTATTGTTTTTTGGCTACGTAGACCAACGGGCCAAAAAGTTACAGCCCCAAAAACTGCCCATTACCTCCAAAAAGGGTTTCTTTTATAACTCTTGTTACAAAGAACACATGAATTTCGAGTTTTCTGTATTAGTAAATATTCTTTAAACCTCAGGCAACTATGCAGATTAAAAAAAAATATTGCGCATGCGCATTCCAACTTTTCTATTTGCTACAATAATAAAGCCCAGAAACTGTCTCTGCTAAATGCAGTGGAAAAATATTGTACGCGGAATTTGATGAAAAAGTTTTAAAAGTTACATTTATGAACGCACTCTTAGTGGATCTTTCCTTTCTCTCAGAACAACGATGTAATTTGAATCCTACATATTCTCTCTGGAAGAAAATTTAGCAACGGTTTTCAACAACTCATTGTTTTCAAAGTATAATAACATTTTACGTTTTTCAAGAAATTTAAAAAAACGAAGAATCGCATACGATGTTCAGTAGGAGAATTTTTTGACACTTGGCTCCGGCTCACATTCGGAAACACGTCTTATAGCTCTGACCCTTCAACTTGACAGACGGACGGACAAAACCATCACATAAGGGGAATTTCTTTCGAAAAATTCCCTTAAAAAATTGCTTTGTAAAGCGACAATTATAAGACGTTCGGACGGAATTTCACATGCCCATTTTTGGCAGACATTGATGGTACGCCACTGATTTCTTTGAAAATAAAAATTATTCTTTCTATCCGATGCAGTTTTCGCATAAAAAAATAAAAACCGTTTCTCAGCATGATCATGACAATATCATGCAGGGAAAAAGACGAGGGGTAAACCGCGATGGGAAATCAGTGTACACGTTTGAGGAAATCTATGGGAAATCATAGGAATTCTGGAGGAACTCCTAGGAAAGCTAAGAATTCCAAGGAATTCCATGTGTATTCAGGAGGAATTCCAAGGAAATCACAGGAACTCCGAGGAAATCAAGGGAACTCTAAAGAAATCAAAGGAACTCGTGCTGCATTTTATTATTTAATTTGGTCTTAACTAATTTTTTTATTTGTTTATGGTATTTTTCTCATTTAATAATGAGTTTTTCTCATTGCAAATAGGTCTATTAAAATATAAAATAGTGTTTCGTCTAAGGTCGTGTCTTTATCCGTCCGTCCGTCCGTCCGCTAACTTTGCGACGTTCTATCTTAAGAGCTATTGTTCTACTTTTTTCGCTATTTGGTTCGTTATGGTGTCGAGTCTTGTACCAAGGAAGGAATTTTTTCTGTACCGCTTACAAAAAAAGTTATTGTAAAAAAAACAAAAAACCGTTTTTTACATGTTCCATAATTTTACACTTTTGCCGTTTATTAACGATCCTAGAGATCGTTTATAATTTTGCATTGCTATCTGTCGCCTGCCGGTTGGTCTCTCCGTCTGTTCCTTTGTCTGTCTGTCCATCTATCTGTCCGTGTGAACGATAACTTTGTTTAGAAATGTTCGATCGCTTTTACATCTCCGTGAGTTATGAACTGAATTGCATGAAATTCAATATGGGCATAGCTTTAGCCATATAATACGCAATGCCAAAAGTTGAATCGAATCGATTCAAAATTCACAGTGCCCTTTTCGCATCTCGACCATTTATAAACCGAATTGCAAACTTTTTTACTTATAAAAGTATTTGAATGAAATTTGATACATAGGCACTTGGAATAAAGGAAAATCAAACGCCAATTTCAAAATTTGGTTTTGCGCATGCGCAGTGCCAACTTTTTTATTTATGGAAGAATTTAAACGAAATTTGATACATAGGCACTTGGGATAAAGGAAAATCAAACGCCAATTTCAAAATTTCGTTTTGCGCATGCGCAGTGCCAACTTTTTTATTTATGGAAGAATTTAAACGAAATTTGATACATAGGCAATTGGGATAAAGGAAAATAAAACGCCAGTTTCAAAATTTGGCTTTGCGCATGTGCAGTTCCAACTTTTTTATTTATGGAAGAATTTAAATGAAATGTGATACATAGGCACTTGGAATAAAGGAAAATCTAGCGCCAGTTTCAAAATTTTATTTTGCGCATGCGCCGTGCCAACTTTTTTATCTATGGAACTATTTAAGTGAAATTTGATACTTAGGCGCTTGGAACAAAGGAAAATCTAACATTAGTTTTAAAATTTAGGTTTGCGCATGCGCAGTTCCAACTTTCTTATTTAGAAAAGCATTGAAATGAAATTCTTCTCATAAACTGAAATTGAAGTAGCACGTCAACAATGGATTGCCCATGTGCAACGCTATCTTTCATATTTGTGGCCGGATTTTTACGATTTTAACAGAAGTTGCATCTTAAATGGGAAATGGATGCAAGTGGAAATGCGCTTTATGTAAATCGTTTACGATTACTTTTTAACTCGACACTTGACACTTTTATATTTTTTTTATGGTTTTACCTCGGGTTTTACTTACCAGGAAATTGCTAAATCAACGGAATAACAATGAAATAATTAAAAAACTTTAAAAAATCAGAGGAACTCACAGGAACTCCAAAAGAAAATCGAGGGAACTCCAAGGAAATCAGAGGTATGTCGTGGAAGTCGGAGGAACTCGGAGGAAATCAGGGAAACTCCGAAGAAATCAAATGAACTCTGAAGAACTCGAAGGAACTCAGAGGAAATCTAATATTTATAGGAAATCAGTGTACAAAATTTGGGTTGCGGTTTACCCCTCGGAAAAAGATTTTCCTTTTAAAATCGTGCGTCGAATTGAAAAAATCTACGAGTAAAAAATAAAAGGAAAGAACCTTGCATTAAAAGGGGACGAGACGGAAATGGACAAAAAGGAAGTTATAAGAGTGGGGGGAAACGCGTCATTATTGGCAGTGGTGTAATAAAACAAAACTGACATCGTCTCTTCTGCTATATAATAAGTCAAGTCGACATAACTAACCAGCGCAAAGGAAGTCATATGACGACTTCCGTTGCGTGCTATGCTATTTCCCAAAACCGTTCTATTCTCTCCTCTTATTTTTTACTCGTAGGAAAAAATCAAGCGATCAAATCTGCTCACCTTCGTACTTCGAATTTTGGAACTTTTTCAATAAAACATTAAGAAAACTATAATTATTTCTTAGGGTCTTTGGACATAAATAGTGTTGTTGTGTTATTTCGTCCGGCAGGATGAAATTTTGGAAAATTTAATTAAGATGGATAAGGGCGGTCTCCTTCTTGTGTAATTAACATTCATAATTAAATTTTATTGTTCGTCGTTGGTCTATGTAACAGCATGGAAGTTATTATGTCATACGAGAAAGCGGACAAGGTTGTTCTTGTTTACCTTTTTATTTTATTTAACGTAGAAATGTCCGGGATTTTTGTTTGCTTTTATCTGTTATTAATTGTAAATGCATAATTTCATTGGCAGGCGGATGTGATTCATCGCCTTTTCTGTGTAGCTAAAAAAGATGAATTTTTATTTTTCCTAGCATTTTAGTTAATTAATTCTGATAAGAATTTGTTTAGTAAAATTATGCGACCTCTATTATTTTGGTCTTTTAACGTAAGTTGAGGGGATATTTTCTGTTGTCAACTGTGTATGATTGGTTGTTATATATTTTTTTAATTGTTATAATTTTGATTTTCGGAAGAAGGGTTTCGCTTAAAATAAGATTCAGAAGAGGGAGAGCGTCGCTTTTGGCCAAGCTCAGAGCGGAAGTACATTCCGCTGTAGTTTTAAATCGCGTTTAGCGACAGTCTACGTAAAATGACGTCTCGTTGAAATTTTAAATCAGCTTTTTGCCACAAGTCACGGCCAGCATTGAAAGTTTGGTCTTATGTGAGTTGGAATAAGTTTCGTGTGTGAAGCCGGAAGCCGAATTCTCGGCTAATTATTTATCTACGTTGTGACGTTTTGAAGTTTTGGTCATCTAATAGGTGCTGCAAGAAGAGGTGTTTGTTCGGCGCCCCCATAAGTTATCAACGTGACTCAGTTGGAAGTTGAGTCCTTGTTTACCCGAAAAGAAGATGCTGCGATTATCCGATCATTATAGTGTAATTGTTTAATCGAGTGTTTCATTGAAAATTGTTTTTGTGTTCTGTGTAAGGATACTGTTTATTTGGATTACATTTCCCGGACAAGTAATGTAAGTAATTAAGTCTTAATTTTAGTCTTTTTGTAACAATTGTTTGTGTTTTTGTATCATTTTCCTTGTGTGTGTGATACGATTAAATCGCATTTTTGTAATTTTCACATTAATTTTTGTCTGTTTCATTCTAACGAGTTCAATTCTAATTTACCTGTCTTTCGCTCGGATGCTTGCACAAGGTGCATTTTAATTATTCAAAATTTTGCAGTTAAGTTTGGAGTTTAAGGTATTTGGTCTGACCCGCTACCTGTTAGAAGTTAACAGGTTAACTGAGAGCAGAGTCGAATCTCTACTCTGTATTGGGGAGTTTTGTGTTGGGATAATAAGTGAAGGTAAAGAGCTAGCTAGGTTTTTGTTTTGGTGTTTTGTGTACGGTCTTTCTGGCCTACGGACCAGTGCACACAGTACAGTAATATCAATCACTAAGTATCAGATCTAAACGTACCCAGAGTAAACGTAGCTCGTGCGTCGAAAATGTGCGCTCATGCGCAGAACAAGCTCTTATCTATTCAGAAAGCATTGTACTTTGGTACAATTCTACGCATGTCTAGTATAAAGATCTGCTCTGTATACTGATTGCGTGAGTGATTTACGCATGCAAAAAATGTCATTGAAGTACACAGAACAGCTGTACCTACTTGGCTGTACAAAACAAATCCACATTAGCATTGAATACTGTAAACTCGTATATTATCGCCCTTGTTCCTTTCGTTAACCAAAGATTCGCTTTTAGATCAAATATAACGGATCGAGTGGCGCCTTTCGACCGTTCCATTTTTTGATAATATCCACCACTGCCATATGTTGCCAATGTCCCATAATACAAAACGCTGCCTACATCTCTTGGTGAATTATAGGTCCAGCTAACAAGTTTATAAGAATTAACAAAGATGGTTTAAATGATCTGACCACGTTGTCTAAGAATGACCATATCGTGCAACCTATACCGAAGTGGACCACAATTCTCAATGTTTAGTATAACTGCAAGCTCAACATGACATTAATACGGATCATTTTTTAAATTGAGGTTGTGTTCAACTTCAAGTTGTTTGACGGTCATGGCAACTGCTTAGATTATAGCATCTTAGATTTGAGTGTCATTGATGGAGGCTAGGTGGTGATCGTTATTGACAATTAGCAGTTGTGTGAACGGTATGGTCACTAGAAGTCGTGGTCTAGATTCCCTCAATGATATTAGTTACGCTGTTCCACGCCGACGACCAAAGGGATCTTTATCTTCCGCCGATTTGGAATATGTACTGTAGCATGCAGCGAAGTTGCGAACCATGTAATCGTGAAGGATACAGGAGTTGTTTCGTACCCGTAACTAACACGAGTTTTACACATAAAACTCTCGTCTTAACAATTATCTTACCTGTCTTATTCTGCCTACACCCAGAATAACATTTTCTAATAACGCGTTTTGATCATCGTCGTCCATTTTTTTAATTGGCTTAACGTCATCATACCAATTCTCACTGTAAAGGGAGTTCACTAATACCGTTTCGGAATACTGAAAGCAAATTAACTTAGTTGGATAGGTACTCTTGCAAACGGCGACTGTTCCTACAGTGAAGTACCATTACATAAATCACAGATTACCTACCTATAGGGTAATCTATGCATAAATTTACTTAGTCGACAGGGATTAAACGAAATAAAAAAAGTCAGAATTTCCAGATCGTGAAACACTTTTGGCCGAATGCACAAACAATAAATAATCGGGCCGTTATAGTTAATCAGTGTGATTAAATTAAACCTTTGATTAAATTCGATCTGTATGCATAAAACAAAAAAAACTCCTTGCTTAACTAACCAGGGTGAGAGAACATTGTTATTTCCAAGGTAGGGAGAAAGAAAACTAGAGGAGGAAGCAGCAAAAGCACCACGACCAACACTGGCAAAATATCCCATCCTACTCATTTTCTTCCACATGGCACACCAGACCGTTAACCTGCTCCAAAACGTTTTAAGTACCTTTGGTTGGTCATGTCAATCCCTATAAAAATAACCCTGACCTATCTGATGGTATCGCCGTTATTCTCATTTTGAAATTAATATTATCGTATATTTCAAAACGATCATTTCTATCCCTTATAAAACTTATTGTCCTTACGGGCGCTTCATCTTCATTGGAGGACGAAGAAAATAACAAGAGCGATGAAATGTCTAACAGCGGGAGGTCAAGATCAATGAAAATGACCACATAAAAAGGAAGGAATAACACAACAAAGTAATTTTTCACGTATGTATTAAGTATTATTTCCAAATTTGTTTATGAAAAATTATTAAAAAATGAACTGAACACAAACTGAGAATTTAAAGAAAATGTATGTATCTTTTGAAACACTAGGTAATCCAAGGAATATCTCAAAATACTATTAGAATCTCAGATGAACAATTATTAAAATAGGTCTAATTATTCTATAAAAATTACGCAAGTTCAAATTGATAATTATGATCGAACTGTCAGTTTAATCAGTCGATGAGCACCGGTTAAATTTTGCCATGATTAAAGGCAGCTTGACTTTTCTGCATACGAATTTTAGCTTAATCGGGGTTTAACCAGTTAACAGTTCCGTTAAATTAACTAATTTAATCAAGGCAAATGTCATTTTTTAATCAAACAGCGCCGTTAAGCTTTGATTAACTTTGTGCATTCGGCCTTTCATATTCGTTACCTACAGTTGTATGGTCTTTGGTGCAAAGTGATTTAATGTCATCCGGTTTACGTTTACTCACCGTCCAAAAGTCATTGGCAGTTTTAATATCGTAAAAACTCAGAGTAGATTCTCCGTAACCAGAAAACTTTGTTTTAGTAAAAGCATCAGTCAAAGATTTACCAAATTCGTGCAATGCAGGCGTCGTCATAATAAAAGAAACTGAAAGTGGAAAAATAATTAAATATCGTTTGCTGAAATGATGAGAGTAACTTACTGACTGATATTACTATAATAAATACTGCCAGTATAACAATTTCTCGAACTGTAGCATTAACCACCGCCTGTTCACTACTGTCCGGAAGCATCTCGCTGCTCGTTAATATGTCTAAAGGGATGTGTAATGTTAGTTTATGTTTGAAATATTGAATCAATGGATTTACGTCTGCAACGAAGGTGTCTTCGGAGGGCATCGCATCTCCTCCCTTCTGGGGTCTTCTTTTTGATTTCTTTCATTCTATTTGATTTGTAAATATCAACAGTTTTATTCTAAAGTAGAATTGACACACTGGAAGTCATAAATGTGACACAATATCTACTTATTACGGAAAAAAAAACAAGTTGTGCTTGAACAATGCCTCTAGATTTGGAAAATAGTCACTGTAGATAAAACTACTTGCTTATTATCCGAATAGGAATGTACAAAATGCAAGGCAATAACTTATTGTAGAGCCAGTTGTAGCACGATAGTTCAACCTCAGTTCAGTTGACTGATTGAAATTCGAATTACCATGGTTCAGCCGGCCCTGAAACTTTTTGATGATGTACTGAGCAAGTTAGACCATAACGTTTTATTCGTGTATTAGCCACTGGGATTACCTACTTTGAATTATTCTCAGAAGTTATTAGCGCCACTCACTTAGGGGGTGGTAAAATATCTGACTCTCTAACGAAAGGTCTAGGCGGAAGAAGTGGTTTTCCATAAGCCTTTCCTGATGTTAATAATAACATATGTTCCTACCTACCATCTTGTAGGACTAGTGTAAAAATATTATTCTTGGTAGAGGATATATATTTTAAAGACACGGTACAATCGACAGCTGGTCCAACTAGAAGATGGTAGGGACTTAGGGAGGGCCATGTGATGGTGAAAACATCAGACATTCCGCTAATTAATTTAAAACGCGTAAGTAACTGATGAACTGGTAACAGTGGCGTAACTAGGTAGGTGCCAAAGGTGCCGCGGCACCGCGCTCTGAAGGCGGGAGGGCGCGCCGGAGGCGCTGAAGCACCGAGGGCACTAAGTCGGGATGGGCAGTACGGGGTGTACCGTATAGGCCAGTCATAAAAGAAAAGAACGGCAGTTAAATTCTAATACTTTGCTAAAGTCGAATATAGGGTGCACTGAAATATAATTAGAACTGAATTTACGCTCCTTTAGGATGAACCGAACATTGTTAAAAAATGGAAAAAAATTACCAAAGTCTTCTTGTTAGATCCAAGGGATTTCAACGCATTTTTGTGTGGCAGATCAGTACTTTTATTAGCCAGTTTTGACTCCACCATCAGTAAGATCTTGTCGGGAACTACCATATTGCCTTTGTAGGTACCCAAAAACACTTGTACCGCGCTATGTTAAGTGCCTCAATATGAATGGCGACTATGTTGAAAAACAGCCTAAGAGTGTATATAATAACAGTTGTTTCTTACACTTTCTTAATTTTTTATTTCAAAACGTATGTTACTTTCTGGATAGCCCTTGTAGAACAAAGTTACAGCGGTAGGAAAAGGCTGCAGATTTAAACTAATAATAATAATAATACTTTATTTGTGATCTATACAATAGTCTGTATTAGTGTGACCAGCATTTGTACCCCTATTCTAAGACGCAATCATTTCTACGACTTGTACTCTATGCCATAGCTAAATGTGACGCGAAAATTGAAAACATTATCTTGAACATTATAAATAAATGTATTTCTATTCTTCATTGAGTGACAGATTTCGTTATTCAAAGCATCTGTCTAAAATTCGAAAGGGCGCAGTGCTTTTAAAATTTTGTGTAAAGTTTCTCTCAAAAATGTACAGTGTTTTATTAATTAGACCTCAATGGTAAGTGATAAGGTCCCAAAATCTGGTACGGCGCCAAAACCTGATCCGGCACCGCTTCGAAAAATACCTTGTTACGCCACTGACTGGTAATGGCTAATCTGTCATCGACTTGGTTTTTACCAAAGTCATGAGACTTCTTGCGAGTTTTAGTAGCTGTAATCGTATGGTAATCGTTGAGTGTACTAATTATCACTCAGAGTAATTTTTATTTAAAGGCCGCCTGGCAAACATTCAAAATCTACGCTGTACCTTACCTTGTATAATGCAAGAAAAATCATTTTCCGAAATATTGGGCTTAGGTACCTTCTTGCATCATTTTCGAGATATTCACAATTAAATTTTTACATCGCCAGTAAATGTGTCTCGTCTAGACGATATTTGCTCTATTTGTGAGTACTTTCCTCCGACAAACCGTTTTCCAGTTATTCATTAATTGTTATAAGTTTTGATAAAACGTCCCCCTCCCCAAACCCTGTTTTGATAAGAGGTAAGTTAATTACAATACTATTAAAGATACAATCCATTTCTAACCCCCCCCCCCCGCGTTTATACTTCTCACTTACTAACCTGCGAGTACTTGCGATCAAAAATAAGTTGCGAGTCGACTTTGGAATTTTGGTTTACATGGAAAATACGGTGACTAGATAGCAACTCATTTTGAATCGCCCATTAGTAAAAAAACTACTTTGCATCGTTCTCGCAAGTTCAAATATCGCTGACAGTGCAGTAAATGCAATTTATATTCAGACATCCTTACTAGATAACTGTTACGATATGTACTTCGAGCTTTATTTAGACATGTAATAATCTCGAGTAATTATTTCAGTAATGCCTATGAACTGATAAGTTAAAGGATCACATCTTGACCCTAGTTGGATGAGGTACTTAAAGTATTAGGTAAGTGATTAGTTATCCAATAATTTTCTATGTAAATGGAAATTTACCCAATTATATCTCAACTAGATAGATATGTGGTGTTGGAAGTCTTTTCATAAGCATACTTGCCTACTCTATAGGACCGGAAGTTCAAGAAAAAAAGGCGCACTGTCAAATATCAAAGCAGAAAAGGTTTTGACCTGCTTTTCCCATCAGTGCACATTAATGAATTAAAGATTGATTATACCGTTTACTTCTGTTATCGACAGTTATACTAGGTACACTTAGCGATAGAAAAATTTCTTAAACTCATTTATCTAGTCACCTGCAAACTTAGGCTATGATTCTAGAAAGAAAGGTCAACGTTAAATTACCTAATTATCTACATTTCATTTCTTGCGAGAGGCGAGGTCGGCTGTGAGCATTGATAATACTTACTTTCAAACCGATATAAGTACAAATCATTCGTGTTCAGTTTAGTTGCATAGAAAATGTCGACGCTTCATATTGGAGATGTTGTGCCCAACTTCAAGGCCAGTACCACAAAGGGAACGATCCAATTTTATGACTGGCAAGACAAATCGTAAGGATCAATTTGCATATTTCATATACAGTAGTTAATGATGGCCTTCAATTTCAGGTGGGTACTGTTATTTTCCCATCCAGCTGATTTCACCCCAGTGTGCACCACTGAGCTTGGAAGAATAGCTGTACATAATCCTCACTTCCAAAAACGGAATGTGAAACTGCTGGCCCATAGCTGCGATGTACTCAAAAGCCATGTGGATTGGGTTAACGATATTAAGTCGTATTGTCTTGATATTCCCGGCGAATTTCCTTATCCCATTATAGCTGATGAAACAAGAGAGCTCGCCTATATGTTAAATATGGTTGATAAGCAGCATTTTGATGACAAAAACCGGCAATTGACAGTGCGCGCACTGTATGTGATTGATCCTAATCATGTGCTCAGATTATCAATGCACTACCCCAATAATATTGGGCGCAATGTTGAGTAAGTCTAAAATACCTAGCTAACTGCAATTATATTCAAATTTTCTTTTTAGTGAAATGCTTCGCGTTATCGATGCTTTACAATTGGTGGATAAAATTCCGCAAGTTGCTACCCCAGCAAACTGGGTCGTAAGTCTGATGTCTCATTTAAAATTTAGATTTGTTTAATTTGTTTGTTTAGCCTGGTGAGAAAGTGATGATTTTGCCAACTGTCAGTGACGTGGAAGCCGATACCTTGTTCCCTGGCGGTGTCGATAGAGTCTCTATGCCTTCGGGAATATCTTATGTCCGCACAACAACTCATTATAAGATGTAATTTATGCAGAGAGATATATAATTATAGCGATTGTTCATATATTACCGTCACCTCTATTCCGTCACGTACCATCTCTTGATTACTGCGAGATGTAACTATATCTCCATATAAGCCTCCTAATTTTATATTCAAAGATATAAGCATGGAATAATAATATTCAATGATATACGTAAATTAATACATGCAATAGCTTTACGTTCAGTTGATTAAGAAACTAGGTCAAAGTCGAGGTCAAAGTCTTACCTACCAGAATTAACAAGCGAACCAGTAATTTACTAATCGTTTACAAAAGGTATGTTTTCCATATTAATATTTATTTTCGGGATAATAACGTGTGTATTTAAAAAAAGTTGAAGTATTTAAGTTTTTTTAGTTAGATCCATGAATTAACATATCGTTTTTCCTTTTTCTTGATAAATAACAGCCGTTGTAATGAGAGTAACAAAACCTCAGAGCAAGATTTCTTGCTCTGAGAGAAAAACGATCAGCACCGTGAGACAGTATTTTTATGGTACTTAAAAATATGCCAAATATCCAAATCCATCTATTATGATAATAAGAAAAATAAACCGATACAACGGAATATGTAAAATAGTATAAAAAGGACCTAACTATGACTCGCGTCTGTTTTCTGAAGACAAAATCAGCATCAGCAACCACAAATTATATGGAAACGACACCAAGAACGTCAAAATCCTTCAAGTATGGGATTTCCAAATTTTGAACAAATTATTGAACGATTAACGGCCTATTTACACACTAGAAACTGTTTTAACTTTAATATTACATTTCTAGCGTGCAGTGCACTTCCAAATTAGCTGGAATCGACATCCGAAACATCACGCATGGTTAAAACTATCAAATTCAAAATTTAACCATTATTTTGAAAATATTCCAAATTTGGGGCCTAAGGGTCAGATATACAACTTTTTTAATGCCGCCATTGGCACCAGCGACCCTAAATCATTCAAAAAGGACCCCTAGAACGCCAAAATTCGTCATTTTTACAGGTTTAAAACCTTGAACACCCTTTTGATCAAAAGTGTTCAAATTTTGAACCCACACGAAAATTTCGATGGGTGCTGCGGGCCAAAAGTTTTATTTGGACCTAATGAACACGTATACCGAATTTCATGCTTTTGTCACAAAAATAGCGAAAAAATTTGTACCGCCTACGCTATAAAGGATACGAAGATGGTCACATTAGGTACAAACTGCGCAATGAAAGAGTTATATTATAGCAAAAAAAGAAAATTCCGAAATTTGCCGATTTCGTTTTTATTTTTTCTGGTACCTAATTTACAGAAAAAATCATTACCGAAAAATTTAGCTAAAAAAACAGCTATACTTAATGGAGAAAATATGCAAAATTGGGAAGGATAGAAATATACCTAGAAATGTGTGTTGTTGGTGGTCTAACCATTGCGATAGCATTGAAATGTAAATTACGAGGCGAACCGTTGTGTTATTTCCAAGTCACAAGTGCCTATAATAGCCAAACAGCCAATCATCTTTATTGTCAAATGTTTTGCTTAGAAATACAACGAGTTAATTTGCCACGTAACCTTATTTGGGTAGAAAATTGTCGAGAAATATTTCTTCTATATAGGAAAACCTTTGAAGGAAATTTGAAAAAGACGATAAAATGTAATCAGGCTATTTTTAAGTACGCGAGATATTCGGCATGATTATATCCTGATCATGCAACAAATTTTGATCGTGGTAAAATGTTGATGTTTGCAAATAATCCTTGAAATATGGACAGTAATGATAATTATTTTTCTATATGAAGAGTAATCCTCTGCTGTTGCCGTGCACACTGTGCCGTCGCCTCAGAAAAGTGTACCCTGCAATGCAGGCAACCTTTCGTACAGCACAGTCGTACTGTTTGAGGTTATTGCAAAAGAAAAGAGAATAAAATACAATACACAGACCACAATCACAATGCAATGAAATCATCAAATACAAGAAGTGATTCAGTTTATTGTTTGTTTAGTGTTTTTTTAGACAAGTGCGTGTAGAAATTCATTCTTTTATCCTATTTATATAATGTGGAAATGTCATAAATGTGGAAAACCAGTATATTTTGGTAAGGAACCCTTCTTGTCTAACATGAATATTTCCAAGGATTGTTACTAAATTAACACAGTCCTTATATGCAAACTACATTACATCTTCCATTATCTTTTTGTGACATCCTGTTTTTCTTGTATTTGCAGCGGAAAGGAAACAATCGTTAGGTTATGACTGGCATCCAGAATGTTTACGCTGTGAAGAATGTGGGAAAAGGCTAAATCCTGGTCAGCACGCTGAACATAAAGGAGTACCTTATTGTCACGTGCCTTGTTACGGTGCTTTATTCGGTCCTCAATTATTTGGTCACGGTACTAGAGTTGAATCTCACAAGAGTTTTGGACAACAAAGAGAGACCTTTAAGGTTGGAAATGGGCCTACAATACCAAGATCACATGTTGAAGACAAGTTAAAGGTATAATTTCACGGCTAATTTAATATGGATTTTGATATTGTTATTGAAAACTACCTAGACATCCTTGTAAAGTCATGTAATAATCTACAAGTAGGTAGGTAAGCAATTTGTTAAAGTAAGTCATATCATTGAATTTATAACTATCAAATTCAATGGTCATATGATTATTAAGTACATGATTTTTTAACAATTCTTTATTTTACCTCATCAAGGTTTCCTGTAGGTATATGTTAATATGGAATAATTACTTCATAGGCAAATTGAAAACTATCCTCATTTTGATGAATGATGAAATTGAAATAGTCAATTAAGTAAGGTAAAAGAAGGTGTAACCAATTTTTCTTGCAATTTTCATTCAAATTTTAGTATCGCTGGGGAGAAATGATATCATTGTATTTTACATATAGATATAACATTGTATTTATAACGTTTTGTAATGAATCTATCTCAGTGTTTGTCCGTCTATGTGTCTGAAGCCGAAACTCATAACTCATGAAGTACCTACACCACGAACTTATAAATTAAGATGGACTCAAACAGTTGCATACAGATAGAAATGGCCCTAGCATGGGCGCCGCCATGATGTGCACATTTTAGTTATTTTCTAGGGGAATTTTCCTAGTGCTCAAGTTTTGAGACTATTGCAGCCTTCGAAAATGACATGTGTCACAGTAATTTATTTAGAAAACATAAGGTTAATGTTGGATTAATGCTTGTTTATTAGTTGATTTGAATTTCGCGCCAAGGGAGTGCACATCATGGCGGCCCCCATGTAGGTGTCATTTGTTAATTCAGCATTAGCAGTCCATCTTAATTTATAAGTTCGTGACCTACACAGATGAGTTCATTGTAATGAACTTACCAATTAGTCATAAGCTAATACCGAATTTAACTAAATGTAATTCTAAATCTAATGCCAAGAAAGCCAAGTGAGTTTACACCACAGAGTCAACTCCCAGCAGCAGGATCGGATGAATAGGTATTTTGGCAAAAATTCGTATGCCCTTCTGGGACAGGCTCCTAGTCTAGGGATTGACCATTTGGTAATTTTGGTGTGCAACCATCAGTAACTTTTTTGTAATTTGTAGCGTTAGGGTTGTAAGTAAATCCGTAAATTCCTAAACCCAAGCAAACTTACTCTTGTAACTCAAACCCAATATGTTACCAACACTTGGAATTGTTGACTGATAATATTTATTGTAAGAGTTACGTGCTATTTATATATCACATATTTTCTTTCTTAAGCTATGTTAATTACGTTAGTATACAGGCAATGCTGAATTGGTTTTACCTCGGGTTTTACTATCGTTTACAGTCGAGTTTACAGTTTACTTTGTAGTATACACATTTTCTTGTTCTTAAACATTATACTTCCTTACTTTTGGAGGGCACTTTAAATCTGTTCTAAATTAACATCTTGGCCCGCCAGCAGGAAAGGCGGTCATTGTGAGTCTGTTCTAAGATGAACAAATTTCATTAATTTTTTTCTTAATTCTACTAATTTTTTGGTCAGATTGCTTACCAGATTTCTAGTGAATGTATTATTATTTTTGCGGTTCTTCTGGTCAATGCTTCTTTTAATGGAGTTTATTAAGAGTTCAAAATGTTTAATTTTTTGGATGGTTTCTAGAACATTTTGTTTCCTAGAAATTTTCATTTTCCAGAAAATTTGTCCAATAGGTATTCTCGCACGATTAGGGCGTTGTGCGCGGGTGCACAATCCTGTTGAAACCAACAGTTTCCAACTTTTATTTGCGTTCCATACATAGTTGTATTCATAGTAAAAACTATTCAATACAGTAAGTATGTACTTTTTGGGGGGCCATGTAAAAATAAAGTCGATGATGATTTCTCCTAAACGAAATGTTGTATTGAAAATCCCTCAAGGGCGATTTGTAAAGCTCAAATAGTAGCAATGGAAAAGTGTTCTGTTTTTTTTTTGTAGTATTCGAATAACATCAGAAAAACCAAGATCAGCAAATTTCAGTTTTTCTGGCATATCTTCGGAAGTAATTGGAATTTTCTGGTTTTCTTTACTTACAGGATGATAATTACTCTTTCACTGCGCAACTTTTCCCTAATTTCACCATCTTCGTATCTTCTATAGTTTCTGAGATCGCCGTGATAAACATCTTTATCTTGGACACAGTCTATATTTTCTCAAATAAGGTAAGTGCCCTCCTAAAAGTTCCAAAATGTTGTTTTCTTTCCTAATTTTTTCTCTATGATTACTTACAATGTGTAAAAGGGTAGAACCCAGGATAGAATTAACGGTATCTAAAATTCCAATCTCTAGATGGGTTCAGCGGGCGAAAAAATTTTGATTTTGACGACATTTTGATTATGACGAAATTTCTTATTTGTTGACTTGCTGATATTTGATCAGAAAAAAAATTTCCTTCACTTATCAAAGTTAGGATGTATTAGCTCGCTTATTAGTTAGGCCTTCTTTTTTCTTTTCATCCACCCAATGTGTTGAAACCTATTGAAACTTTTCATTAGAACACCATGAAGGATAAATGTTTTTTTGCACTCCTTCGTTCTAAATCGCGTTTTCCCAATAAAACACGAACGTCTGGAACGTCAAGTTTACAATTGACTATCTACTTTCGCGCACTAGTGCCTAAAAATTCAACGAAATTATCTATTTAGTGCGGATCATAAACTAATAAGTAGTATGATGGAAGAGTAAAAAAGAAAATATAAATACACTTTACATCATTCCCTATAGTACAGGGGCAAAAATAAGCTTAAATCAGAAGTATTGAACATTAAATTGACATTTTAAATTTCTAGATTTCTACTTTATCGGCATAGAGGACTTAATTTTTTCAAAAGAATTATAATGACGCAAAAATCTCGCGAAAAGGATTTGAATTTATATAAATTCGATTTAACTAATCCGTGCAAAAAATAGAATACATTTTACGTGCGTGAACAGTGTTTGCTTGATTCGCGCGACATGCGTCGCTCGTGCGCGTTGCGCACTCGCGCCGTCAAACTTCGCGCTCATCTGCAAAATAACTGTTCCCGCACTAATAATGTAAATAACTATTCTCTCGTGCGATATTTAATATTGCAACTGTCTCTCTCTCCATGTGATAGAAGCGGACAGAGATAATAATTTTCATTAAGTGTACCCTTGACTTAATTTTTTAGGCAGCCCATTTGCAATGTGTTTGTTTACGTATCAAGTTTGCTAAAAAATGTATTTCACTCGGTAAACAGATAGACGAACGTTGGCCTTATGTGGGATCTTGTCAAATATAATTTTTATGTGACTTTACGATCTATCTGATCGGATATTCAAACTTCCTGCTTAACCGGAAGTCGATTCGACTTTTGTTTTTCAAATGCAATGCCTATGATTTTTTTATGATATTTAAAGAGAGCGATCAATTTTCTGTATAAAATATGCATATGGTTGATATACCGGGTGGTGCCTAGCGCGACGCAGCATAGGGATTTCAATTGTAATTTCTTTATAGTCAATTACTAGCTCCCCTAATTATTTTAGAGCAAAAGTCTAAATACGATTTTTTTAGAGGAAAAAATACTGCATGTGTTCATACTATTAATTATAATTTTCCGTTTTTCAAAACCGTAGAAATCGACAAAATAAAAAGCTTCATTTTACAATAAATCAAATATGCCTTGGAATTTCCTAAAAAAAACAGCGATCACGTTTCATTATTTGCCTTTGACGTATATGAAATTTATACTTGTTTGTAAATTAGTTAAAGAACTGCAAGTGCAATAACGTTCAAAATGTCCGTCAAAACCATCAGGAAAACGGCAATACATTCAACGTTTTGGCTGCATCAGTATAGCGGAAAATCCGAATATAAGTTTCTTCAAATCAGTTTTTTTTCTTCGATTATGTAGGTACTCTGGTTCGGAAAATGATAAACAAATAGTATGTGATGCAGATGCAGCATACATTTTCTAAAAAAACATTATCCTAAGATGCCTCTTATTGCATCGGTTAGTTGAAACAGAATTAAATATGAAAATCGTTCGACGTCAAGCAACGATAACTTAGATACAATGCGCTTGTAGTTTGTTAAAAGATTCCACAGCATCACTGATTTATAAAAATGTAATTTTTTATTTTGTCAATTTCTACGGTTTTGTAAAATGGAAAATTATAACTAATAGTATGAACACATGCAGTATTTTTTTCTCAAAAAAAAACGTATTTAGACTTTTGCTCCAAAATAATTTGGGGAGCTAGTAATTGACTATAAAGAAATTACCATTGAAATCCCTATGCTGCGTTGCGCTAGGCACCACCCTGTATAAAAAAAGTGGAAAAATTCGTGATTCAATATTTAGAAAATTTATTAAATCTAGCATGCCGTGTGCCATATCATACACAAAAGACGTACAATAACTTGTTCAATGTTTCGTTTTTAAGATTTACTTTTGATCTCCCCGTGTAATGCTACAGACACCGTGCATCCTGACAGCACACGGCATGCTAGATTTCATAAATTTTCTAAATATTGAATCAAGAATTTCTTTTTTTTTTGTATATCAAACATGCATATTTTATGTTGTCATACAGTAAGTTGATTGCTCTTTTCAAATATCGTAAAAAAATATATGCATTGCATTTGAAAAACAAAAGTTGCATCGATTTCCGGTGACACCGGAAGTGAGGTAGTATGTAACTGCTCGCGCAATTAGGTGCGAAAAAAACATCGCGAGTAGCGATATACTAAAATTTTCTCTCTGAAACAAAATACGTGCGTACCCTTTTAAAGTTGAACCACAGCATATCCAGAATGTTCAATCTCGTCTGCTCAAATCCCCAAACCCCGAATACGCGGTACCTTTCTTCGCTTATGACGAAAGTTAAAAATCCAGACACATTTTATTGAAAAATACACACATAGTTATCGCCTCATATATTTCTCGTCGTCCTTTGTTTCTGTTCGCTATAAAGCGGTACATGTGTAAATCTTCCTATGCTTGCCAAAATATAAATTCAATAAATGGTCTAAAGTGACCACCCGTTACAATACTTACTACAATACTGCCCACAGAAGGTGCTAACGAGAATCTAGGGAAAATGAAATCGAAACATGTAATTTTCAGTTTTTCGATGATATTTTCAACTACTGTTTATATCATATGTTTTTCCTGTATGTAGATTTAAGAAATCTTGTCCCGATCATTTTTAATATCCCCTGTAATCTGTTTCTTTTAGAACTACAATCAGTACTTTGACGGAAAAAGTGGAGAAATACGTAGTAGAGAAGTGAATGGACGTCTTATATTGGAAGGTGCTTTAAGAGTCCATTGGGGCATTCAAGGTGTTATACATTTAAAGGAAGACGATGATCAACGAACGGTGGTAACAGTAAGGAAACGTAACTCCTGCCGCCTACAGTCAAATGCAGATTTTGATTCAGATGATGATCTTACTGGTATATCAAGAGATAGTAGCTTTAACGATTTCTCAGTTACATCTACAAACTCAAATTTAGATTTAGATATTTCGATAAGTAGTTTAAATTTAGACAATATTAGTTTATCAGATACAGGCATAGAGTCTGGTGGGGAGACATCTGAGACAAATACCGTCGAGACTAGCCCAGTTTCGCCTCAACACGATATTCTGATAAAAAGTTCAACACTTCCGCCTAAATTAGATTTAAAATCAATGGAATGGGACGAATTAGACGATCTACTGCAAATAGAACGTAAAGTTGACAATTCCTGTAAATTATATCAAACTATGCCTATTCCATTGCCTTCCCAACATTCTGAATCGGCTTCAACTAATAACTGCGAGAATGGAATCGATACAACTAACAGTGAAGCAAAAAGTGAATGCGATGGTGGTTCAAACGATGCACATAACATAGATTCTTGCGACAATAATTGGATTGAGAAGAGTAACCATTTGAATCGCTCAATGTCTGGCCCAGACTGTTTGGAACGAATGCGACAGACGAAATCGCCAGAGTTCGATCAAATTTCAATTAATAGTACAAATACGGATATATCAAATTTTACATGTCAAGATGACGTTGTGATTCGAAGGCCGCCTAAAACCGGTTCTACCGCCATAAAACGGAGGCCCGGTAAACGCTTGTCCAGAACTAAATTGAAAAGAAGGTGCTCTATTAATGGCCATTTTTACAATCGAGAAACAAGCTTCTTTACGCCCCCTCACGGTAGCCAAATGAGCGTTTGGATTACTTCACTTGTTAGCACTCAAGATGTTATTAATTTAATATTAGAAAAGTATAAAGTCGAGAGTGATCCCGTCAATTTTGCGTTATTTATTGTTCACGATAATGGAGGTAAGTTACTCAACTAATTTTATAGGATGATGCAACCAAAATAATAAAATCCACTGTAGAATGTGTAAAAATTACGAATTCTACAGAGGATTTTAGGGTTATGGAGAAGGTTGAGATCAATTTTCAATGTAGCTAAATTTTATTCCCGAAATAGCCCTAGAGCTATAAGTACATATGGACCAAACTTCTCTCATATTTATTGAAGACAAGTTTGTTTTATCTACCCAGTTGTTGATTGGCTAGCAGTTATTAAGTGTTTGTACATTAAATATTATAACAAATATAACTTATTCAAAATTGGAATTGAACATGATACATAACTCATATGTGGTAGGTATTTTCTTAAGTATCAAGGAGGAAATCAAAAACACCAAATCTTCACCACATTAAATTTAATAAGTTGACATATACTACTGTGTTTTCATGTTTTAAGTGATTTTGCGATCATTTCACTCTTCAAGTTGATATGTTCACGTGCACATTTCTGACCAGCAACTTAGGGTTCGATTCATAATATTCTAATGCAGATATAGGCAATATCGCTTCCATACTTATAGATTTATGTAATATTGTTGATGCTACGTTACTATCTATGTAATACTTACATAGACAAATGCCGCTATAATTAACTGTGAGAATAATTTTTCACTTATAATTGCACAAGAGGTTTGTATTTTTCCTAGTAAATTTGCGTTGTTTTGGTCATGAAAATCTGTTGCCTAGCAATTAGACGAGAAAAACTGCCAACTAATAAAAATGCGACACCAAAGGCTATGTTTCAAGTCAAATTGCTAAAGGAAACAGATTTAAATTTCAACAACACAAATTTACTCGGTTTTAATACAAACGTCGAGTGTAATTCGGTTGGTCAATTTAACGAAAAACATATTCACCAAATCAATTAATTACTGACAAATCAAGTCTTCATATGAGAATGGATAATTTGATAATTGATTAGAAAATGAATAAGTAAAAGAGTAACTTTTGCTCTGTCAAAGTGACAATTGCACTGCGGCTTATGCGATTTCTTATACATGAGTTAAATTGTCTCAAAAAATAATTTTAGAACAAAGACGGCTGAAAGATGATGACTATCCACTGTTAGAACGTGTACTTCAAGGACCCCATGAAGATGTAGTTCGATTATTCTTGATGGATGGTCACAGCACTCCAGAAGTGAGTAATGAAGTTGCTCAGTTTTTAAATTTCTCGCTAGCTGAAATGAGAGCAATTCTTAATCAATATTATGTGCAAGAGGAACGTGAAATAGCTCGAATACAAGACAAGTACGTTAAACATATTTTCTTTGATTTGTTTTAATTGTGTTAACTTTGTAGGTGGTTTGAAATGAAACGAAGAATTAAAATACGAATGGAGGAACTCAAAGTGCGGCTGTAACTTTTTTTAACCATTTGATTGGTTTTGTATTTACGCACATCACAGAATGTTTGTTGTGTGTCACTTTTATTATATTTTTAATTTTACGTGTATTTAACTGTTAAAGGTCTTGTTTATTATGCCGCTTTGATAATTTTTAAAACAAAATGCTGATTAATAAAAAGTAACAACACTAAGTCCGCAGGCATAAATGACTTTCTACCGAATTATAATAGAAAAATAAGAAAAAGCATAGGCTCCAAAATAGAAGTTAGAATACTCAATTTGGGCTTTTGACATTCTAAGTGTTTGTTCCGAATCTGGTTTTATGTTCACCCGTACTTAGTCCACATTTTTAGTCCTCTTGTTACTCGTCCGTCTCTTCCAACCGCACCCAAGTTCACACTTGCTTGCAGATGTTGCTGGACGAATCTGATTTGATGTTGCAGGTGCTCTAAAAGGAGGAGCCGCCGCCTAACCGTCTCTCCAAGAATGCAACTATGCTGACGCCCACTCATTCCTTAGTTAAGTGGAAAGGTTACTCTCAGTTTTAAGTAAAAATGTTACCCTCAGAGTCTGATGTTGCACATGGAGAAGCAATGGAGGCAGATCCAAGAATTGTGCGTGTAGGGGTGATCTGCATATGTCTAAACATCCGCAATTTTGATTTGATTTGTGCAGTTCGCGGAATTTCACTCTTTCCATTATTATTTTATTCTTCTGTATACAGGGTGTCTTAAATTGAGTAGGATAAGATGGCTATCTTTGCCATTATTATATCATTGATTATATTTACGGATTCGGTTAAATTGGTAAAGTTGTGTAGTTTTGGATGCTGATGGATATTCCAATGCGATATTTTGAAAAAAATAATTTGTTTCGTAGATAATTGGAAAAAAGTGAAAATCGCCATTTTTAAAAAGTTCAAATATTTTAATCCTACAGTGGTCGCGTGCGGACCTCGCTCCACACCATTGATTTTTTTGTAATTACGCGACTATTTAGACCCCCACCGCTCTCATGCTCTTGTTACCTTCTGACAATGCTCTTATGAAGAATCAGTGCTAATAGTCCGCTCCATAAGTGTACACCTTATTTCTAAAAATGAGCCTGGGGCTAACGTTACGATTAACGGGGAACATTACCGAACCATGATCAGTAAATATTTGTTTCACAATATTGATGACAGGAGATGTGGATGCAACAGGATCGCGCTACGTGCCGTACAGCCAACGAAACTATCGACTTATTCAAAACAATATTTGGTGATAAGTTAATTGCAAGACCTGTCAAGTGCCCGCCCAGGTCCTGCGTTTTGACGCCTCTTATGGGGCTAGGTAAAGTCATTAGTGTATGTATGCTAACAAACCAGCTGCACGCCTCGGAAGCCAACATTGTTCGTGTGATTAATCATAACGCTACCAATGCTCAAATTGGACTGACGGAATGGGTTTCGTAAGGGACAGCCGCGGTGACTATATGCTTCAAATAATTTTTAAACATTAATGTCATATTGATCTTTCCAATAAAGACAGATTTTTTATCAAAAGATGTTTTTTGTATTATTTATTCAAGTTTAAAATTCTATGGGCTTTAAAAAAACACCCTTTATATAGTGTAAATAATAGAATTACACTATGCTAGTAGGTGAACATTGCAGAACCCCACGGAAAACTTTTTTCGATATCTTGTGTAGGTATTTTCACCTATGATCGACCGTTTTCAGATTTATGAGACCTTCTCTTTTTGTTGGGTTAGTTCAATGGCGCCAATGATTCCACATTTCATAAATTGACTTGATATGATAATTATCATTCTAATATGCAACAATTAAATGTTGTCGGCTGTTTTTTCTTCTTTTTTTTCCAGCCTATTTTCTGGGTGTCGGACTATCGGTGAACAGTGAACTATCATTTTCAAAGTGTATTCTTGCAATGTAATTATTATTTCGACTAAATTTGTGGACTGTCAGAATCTTCATAATAATAATATTATAAACAAACTTTTGACAGAGACTTGTTATACTTAGACCGCGCATACAATGCGACTCGCTTATAAAAGAGTGTTGCCAACATGTTTAGGCAACACATCATACACGTAAAGGCAAAGCACGAACCAGTTTACTAAGATCCTACATATAACCAGTCGAAATAACTAGAATCATTGCATAAAAGTTTTATTCAATGGTAAAATGAAATGTGCCTATAGACATAAAAATGTTTATTGGCTTTTAAACAATACTAATTTGTTGTATAAATGTCTAACTCTCACATCTACTTCGTTTATTTTCTTATTTTCGTAATGAATACGTATTGCAAAGAATACCTTCTGCAGCCTGCAGGACATGATTATGATAGGTGTATACTGTATATGATGATGATATGATCTTGAAGTGCCAAACAAATTACATCCGTGGAGATTTCTCAGATTTCTGCGCGACGTAGGTACAACAAAGACGCCGAATAAACAAATTCATATCTCTGTTAGACTATCGCAAAGATTGTTTCTCAAAATATTCTTGTGCTTTTCTGCTGTTTCCATTCCATTCTACATAAGTATAATAGTAGTAACAAGTCTCTGACTTTTGATCGTTTCAGTGTTTTTTGCTGCTTTATTCTCACTTATTTTACGCCCCTGCATGGTATGCAACTTGTACAACAAGAACTACTGCGACTTATTGTGGCGACACTGGAACGATTTAGGGTGGCCACCATTGGAACTGACCTCATATCGTCTGCTGCTCAGTTCGTCAGCTGTTGATCGCATATTTTGGTGTTACAATTCAACATCCCTTATCCCTTCATCATTAATATTAATCGGTAAAACTTTCACAAAAGTTAGACCCTCTACAAACCAATTGTAATTATAATGAATCGTTCATCCACTCTTCTTCGTACCGTTCTTCTAGGACAAGGTTAGTTTTCTTGTCTTCTGCTACAATTTTCAACTGTTTAACACCAAAATAGTAATTAAAATATGCGCAGCTACTTAATTCAATGGGTTTTATAATGTAACTTTGCTAACTGCATGATAACTGATAATATGAACGTGATTACATAACCATTTCTTACAGCTCCAAGGAGAACGAAAGCTTTTGCAGGCGTAATAAAAGGGTCGATGAATGATCTACCTCAACCAAGTGGAAATTTTCAAATACACTACGCGGCTAAGCAAAGGAGATATATGGGGGAGTTGATCGCAGGAGCAGCATTCCTTACATTTACGATTGGATTTGGATACGTTAATAATTGCTTCATTTGGGATTTAACTCCTGCCAGACCTGCCGATTCCAACGACTATTCGAGCTAGATTTGTTTTAAGTTAGTAGTTTTTTTTGTAGATATAAATTATATGTAACTTACAGTAAAACTTAATTGTCAGTATAGTTCTGCTCTTTTAGTTCGCACATCCCTATTGTGAAACAATGGAATTTATTTGAAATAAAATCCTATTGAGTAATCTATTGTTACTAACTTGATTGGAAGTATAGGTACCTATATACAATTGTATACCTACCCATCATTGAACTAAAAAGGCATTATCACAGTTGAAAATTGCTTTGCAGGCAAATTTCGCAACTATTTTAATCTAAAAAGATCTATATAATACCACATGTTTACTTTTAGGGGCTTTTACTTGTAACTTGACCCTATACTTCAAAAGTATATAAAGGGAATAGGTAACTAGTTTGGTGGTGGAGTAAGGTGGGAGTAGGGTATGTTTTTCGTGGTTTCGAGACTCCTGCAAACAGAGAAGGGACATTTCAAAGCTTCTGAAGGCTGTTGAATATCTTAATACTCAAATGTCATTTTTTGTAATTGAAAACATTTTTGAATTGCATCGTGGTTTTTGCATGGAGTAGGTAGCTTAAAGATCAAATCTGTCATCTAAGACAAGACAAGAAACCTACGTACATATTTAATTACTCAATGCTCGTAGCAAGAAACACACACAGGTTAAATTGTGGTCGAGACAGCGCCGTATTCAGTCATGGAGTGAATAAACGCGAAAGTGTGTGAACTTATTGCGACCATTCAATGCCTATTACCATTCTATATCGAGATCGTCCTGTTCTGTGGGACTGCCGTTTGAAGGAGTATAAAAAGATAGGAATAAGAAACATTGACGCTTTACACAAGAAATGGTATAGATTCAAAGCTAGTGGAAAGGAAAATTAAGAACCTATAGTGTGCCATGTTTTACGCGAGATAAAGAAGGAGAGGGATTCGAGTAAGTCTGTGGCGCGGGAAGTGATGATGTCTACAAGAGTATGGTTCTGCATCAACAACATGCTTTTCCTCAAGGATCGCAACACACCAAAAGAAAAGAGCTATCTTATTCAGAAGTTGAAGAACTTCAAAGTCACTATACTTTTCATACGAAAAAAGTTTTTGAAACCACATCCATATCTGCACTGGGGATTTAATTCGTCTACATCATCCAAAATAAGTCCTTCATTAAGTCACTAGTTCCATTTGTTAGACAACTCGTGCTGACGTCACGCTCTTTACTCAAACTAGCCGGCTGCTCTTGTATTTTAGATGGCGTTAGAAAAATGTAATCCAACCTCGAACATCGTAATGACCACCAGCATACAACCAAATATCACACCAAGATCTGAGCTATGCACGATTCGATTGACGACTCCAAAAATGACCGTTACGGAAAGAAAGCATATAAACATAGACGTAAACGAAACCGCAAAAGACCGTTGTTCCGGCCAATTGCATGTCGACGACATCCATATTTTCGCCGGAAGAAACAACCATTTAGCATCATCGTTAACAACCTCCAGGGGAAGTTTGTCCGTATGCACTCTCTTATTTGACGACATGGTGGCTAATATCAGGTTCAGGCATGAAAACTGACTTGAATATACAAACTGATGTGATGCGTAAAAATGCGCATGTGTTCCCCGCTGCGATTGTAAATACGATAGTTTCACGGTTCATTCTACCTCAAAAAGCATAAAAGGCAAGCTTTCTGATTAAGATTTAAAAAAAATGTGCCAGATTTTTGACTTTCTAATTCAAACCAAAATAGCGCTTTTAGATAGTGAGTATAGTACCTACACCTATTAGTAGGTATAAGCAAAGAGTACCTACTCTTTGGTATAAGTGTAGGGAAAAAACGTTTCCTACGAAAGTTTATCATTTTCCGATGCAAGATGCAAGATTAAACAAAAAAATTTGAAAAAAATTAGTTGCTCTATACCTGACCTATAAGAGACAATTATGTGAAAATGTGCATCGCGCCATTAAATGAGAAATCGACGATATTCGATGGCCAGGAAAAAAAAGGCGCGCAAACCTCGGACACCATCAACATGCAACCAAATATCACACCAAGATTTGAGTTAGGTTCCAAATCGAGGTGTTTACACGTTATCAGTTTTGCAGCGTGTGCGTAGAAAACGGCAACAGTCGTTGTGCCGGGAAAATTCCAATTAGGCCTAGGTGTTAATTCGATTACCGTATATTGAAGTTTCGACGCGCCTAATTGAGTAAGCATAATAATTAATGTTCGACGTTTTATTGAGTTGTGGAAAAAACTGGAAGTGTAATGCTGACCCCATATTTTTCCGATAATCGCAGGCCGAGTAATTAATTAAAAACCGAATTAATTTGGTTCGTTTCCGTGTTGAATACAGCGAAGAGCTGGATTTCCTATATACGAGTACCATTTCCTCAAAATCCGGATTTCTTTATAATGTTAACGCTTGATTTTGTGGCGAGCTTTTTACCATTTTTGCTTGACGTAAGTTAGATCTTTTCTACTCTTGCATTTATCACCGCCAAGTTTTGTAAGTACCGAAACCGAAAAACTTTGCTTTTCCAACCGTAACGTATTCAGATCTTTTGCCATTTACTTTTACTAAGTACTGTATTAATCTCTAGCATTGCCGTAAATTCACTTTGCATCCGTACCGTTTTATTTTGCTTGCGCATTAAGTTACCCGAATTCATTGGAATTCGCTTTTATCAACTTTCTTGGCTACCGTTCCGGTAACTGAAAGGTATAAGCTTTATATTGCTTTCCGTCTGGCTAATTAAAAAGGGGGGAATTATTGCTCGCTTTCCTGCAATTACTTTTCCCTCGATTTGTGTTTTATTGCTTTCGCTTGTAACGAGTGGTTTTATTTCGCGCCGAAGTTAATTAAAAAAATTCGAAATTTCTTGTCATGATAGTGCAGGTCACCCTGTATATTTCATTATTTGTTCCGGTTAGAAATTTTGTGATCATTTATGTTTGGGCATTTCGGTTCGCTCAAGACTATGGTACGGTAGATTTAATTTCGCTCAAATTTAATTTCGTCGTGGGAAGATTGCAAAGTTGATTGACGTCATCATGAGTAATGCGAGTTTTGTCGTTCGTTAATCACCCGAGGCGCCGTCTAGACCGAGAATAGGAGCGGATATAGCACCCAGCCATCAAGGGATCAGGGGTCTTCATTTCGTCAGCAGAAAACCGTGAGATTCGCTACTCAGCAGTTCGTGGAGGTTGACGACGAGCTAGAGTGGGTTAAGTCTTCGTTATCTAAACCAATGGGAGAATTTCTAGCGGGAGCCATTTTTGTGTTATGGTAATTTGGGTGTGGTTTTCTCATTTGAATTCTGAAGAAGGGGATCGTTTTGAGAAGACTCGCGTTTAGTACGTCAAGGGGTCAACACGTACCTTGAGCGATCGTTTTGGAACACTTAGCGTTTTGAGCCACCGGTTTATTTCGGTTGCTCCCAGTTGCGTGCTTTGTGCACCCCGTTTAGAAGTGTTATTTTCTTTTCGCGTTGAATTTTCGGCGACGAAAACCCCGGTTCCGATCAAGTGATATTTAGGCGAACCTTTTGAGCTTCACACCAGTTTACTTTGGATGCAGTGAATCGCGTTAGGATACGTTGTGATTTCTCGAGGATATATAATTCAAAGTGCTGCCCTATTCCTCAAGACGCAGAATTTCGGGATCCGCCCCAGGTGGAATTTCCTACTAGTGCCGTACGGTCATTTGTCGAAGGAGCGCTGCGCTTTGGAGAGATATTTGCCCCAAGAAGAGCTGGTGAAATAAGTAGTCGAACCACCCAAGAATAAATCGCGGTTTACCGTCGGATCGTGACCATAAAAAATTTGTGTTCTGCCGTGCCGCTAACTCAAAAATCCGTCTCCAGCAGGCGACTTAAAGTCAATAAACTCTAAGAGCCGGTGGAAAGAAATAGTAGGGGTTATTGTGTTAAATTAAATACATCTGCTGTGTAGAAACTTTGGCAACTAGCCGTCTCCCACTCGCCACGCGAAGGATTTCCTGGACTAAGATTCCTTTTAAACACTACACTTTGTTTTCGTTCCGAGGAAGGATAGGCACCGTGGATTTTGTTTCCGTGTGTTAACTTCAAGCAACCCCCTAAGGAGTCACGGAGACCTAAGTGTCAGGTTTCACCACACCCACCCTGTACCAGAGGAAAGAGCAGTTCACAAGATCGGCTGTACAAATATTGTAAAGGTTAGTCTAATTAAATTTGTAACGTTCTGTAAAATCCCACTTTTTGGTAATCAAGCTATAGTAAAACTTTTGATTTTCTTGTTTATTAAAGTCCAATGAACGATTACCAAAGAGTAGGATAAATTTTGTGTTTATTTAAATAAGTCCCAGCTCACGCTGGAGTAAAAACGATTACTTGTTGTTAAAATTTTCAAACTGTAGAGGATGGCCACCCCTTGAGTAAATTAGTCTCACTTGGTAGGATTTTTTATTTAGTTTAGTTGTCATTGTTAAGCTACATTTTTTACAAGGAGGAGAGAAGAACTGCTAGATCCCTGTAATTTGTTTGTATCTATCATATCATTTAAATATATTATCTACTTGGTTCCAATGTGCCTATGTCTTTAACGAAGAACGAGGGGAAGGAGTTGAGGCAGGAGACTGGTAGACGGCAGGTTAAGGTTGTTACGCAGTAGGAAAGAGTTAAAAGCCCACCGATTTGAGTTAGCCGGAGCATTTATTTTTATTTGTTACGCAGCCTGAGAAAAAGACGGTTTGCCTTGCCGGGCGGAACCGATGGTAATTTTCAAGTCCAGAAGGAACCCCCGTAGCACGCTTCCACTAGGGAGTCTGCCGTACTTTGCTGCTGCTGGACCCTACTGATCCGTCCGTCCGTTCGTTCCTGTGTTGTATTACTTATATTTATTTTGATTTTTTTCGTTACATTACACGTTCATCTATAACATCAGAAATTGAAACGATTTAATAGTTTATTGTGGTCGAAACCTTTTGCAGGATCAATTCCATCTAATTTAGGGCCGATTCTACAATGAAGGTATATACCGAGAATAAGCTATACTTAGAATAAATGTCGACGGTTGCGTTGGTTACCATTGTGTCAACCAATGGCATACGTGTTGCTATGGCAGTTATTCCAGGAATATCTTATTCTCCGTAAAAGTGTAATTGTAAAACCGGCCCTTAGTGGTTTAATCGTTTAATATTTATTTTTTTTATTTATTTGCCTTTATTTTTGATTGGCGGGGTTTCAGCTAAGGCTCTACCAACGCAACCCACTATACATTTACAAATATCCATGCCCGAACCTGGATTCGAACCAGGGACCCTTAGCACCACAGTCCAGTTTCAAGTGAACTGCGCCACACGGGCCGGCATTTTCATAATTTTTTTAAATAGATTCAATGTTCAATATTTGATCATTCTAGAAGGATTACCATATAAAAGAGCAGTATTCTAGTTACGTATAGCGTAGAACTTAATGCCAGAATTAGATATTTAATTATTAATAAAATAAACCGCGAGGTCCATAAAACAAAATACAAAAATTCTAAAGGCTAAAAACTGTTCAAAGATTCCAAAAATACCAATAATTCTATGGATGTCAAAGGTTCCAATTGCTCGCTTACGCAAGCTCGTCTTCCAAGTATTCGTCCCACGAAAACTGCATCTAAGAATATTAACCCCCAAAATAGAGGTTCGTTGTAGCAAATCGTGACGGTTCACCCCTATAAACCTCGTAGGCACTCCTCTTTTTTGAAATGTCGCTTTAGATATTATTAGTAGTAGGTACTGACTGTATCCTTGAAGCATGGTCGTGAACATTTCTTTATTACAGCTTAAAATACCTTTGCACAACTTTGCATTAATACTAGAAATAATAAGTTTCATTGTGAGCTTACAAACCGGTCAAAAAATCGTAATTAACCTACTATAAAGCATGTGATCGTATGGCATATACCGATTAATCGTGAATACGTGCTGCATGACCTAACGTGGGAGGAACCGTTTATTTCAAAGTCTTCCCCAAAAAGGTGTATATTGAAAATGAGAATTTTACCATCTGAAAACACAAAACGTTTAAACCATTCATCACGTGATAAAAAAACCTTTATGTAGAACTCTAAGGTCAGGAATCCGAAATTTCCGACTGTCATTTTGACAGGTCTTTGGGCTCTCAAAATCAACAAGCTCATCGCCTTTTGAAGATCCTTATTTCGGGACACGTTAAGCAAATGCCAACCAGAGGTGTAGACATAATCAGCAAATGCGGTACTCTGTAACTTCTCCTGTAGACAAAATACTTCGAATAAAGGCTCGCTTACCGTGACGATGACGTCGTTGGCTAAGTAACAGTACAGAAAAACCTCAGTCATAATCGCCATAAAGTATGAGATTGCCATCGCCATGGTTTCGGGATTAAGGCTCTGAAAATTTGGCATTAGTGAAAACTCGAACCATGTTTGTAGGTATTTACTATCATAAACGTCGCGATGCATATCAGCATTACAGTCGTTATAACTCGTAGTAGGAAAAAGTTCTTTGTGATGCCGTTCAAAGTCTTGCAGCTGCTAAAAAGGTTAACAAAATAAGAAGCATCTTATTTTTGTTAAGGTGTTATACTCCAGTAATAAATTGTGCTGTCGAATCACTTGCGCTATCAGCTTTGAGGCCTCCTCCGAGCGGTGTGTCTCGTCATGAATTCTTATAATGGTCTCCATCTTTGCTCTTAAATACTCACCGAGTAGTGCAAACTGGACGGCGCAGTTGCGCAAGACACTCATTAGAAAAATATCTAGCGTGATAGTGGAAAAACATTGTTCAATGCTCATGTAAGATTCCACAACATACGCAATTTCATAAAAAGGACTCGTTTCGAACGGTTCAGGAAACAACGTATACAACGGTTTCGCGTGTAGAACGAAGGCGAGTACAATGGGTTGAAGCATGCAGACACCACCTATTGTCGCATAAGTGGCCCAAAACATAAATATAGTTTTAGTTTTTTTTTTAATCTTTAATTCGATCGCCCCATCGACAATATTCGATGGCCAAAAGTCATAGAAAATTATCAACAACAGGTCACTTAGACCCTTGCGGTTAATTTGAATCAGCAGCCTTCTTCCAAGTGTCTAAAATTTCAGTTACCTTTCCAACACAAAAACAAATGCGCGCAAACCTCGGACACCGTGAACACCATCAGCATGCAACCAAATATCTCATCAAGATTTGAGCTATGCACGATTCGATTGACCACTCCAAAAATGACCGTTACGGAAAGAAAGCAAATAAACATCGACGTAAACAAAACCGGAAATGAGAGTTGTTCCGGCCAATTGCATGTCGACGACATACATATCTTTGCCGGAAGAAACAACCATTTAGCACCATCGTTAACAACCTCCAAGGGAAGTTTCTCTGTATGTACTTTCTTAGTTGACGACATGCTTTGAAAATATCCCGGTTCCGCATCTATTTATTTACACCGCGCTCATAAAATATTTCGGCCAAATTGAATTTTTCATTACCTATTGCTACACTTAATTATCTATTTTTAATTATTGAAGGTGTCCGCGTGATAGTTTGTCCATGTAAATAATGTAGTAGTAATTGATTGAACCAGATTTAAATTTAAATTTTCTATTATATTTTAAACAAAGCTTACTAGCATTTATCGAGATTTAAGGTTTAGGGCACAAATATAGTATATCTGTGGTTTAGGTTTATGTGTCTCGCAATAAATTAAGAGGCTCCCCCGCTATAGGTGTAGGTATAGTCTATATTTTCTTACTTGCAGTCCTTTCAGTCAACAAAAAAATCCCGGCAGAGTCCGCTTCAACCCAACAGACGGCTGAAGATCAAGATAGATTCCTACCTATGAAGAAGAATAAGCGGAAGAAAAAGAAGTTGTAGTCGTGACTTCGTGAAAATAAACTTGATTCTCTACGGAACTGGTAAAAATGTTACTGTAGCAAGTAATTTTTTTTAATGACATTAATAATACCACGGTTAGCTCAGTAATGAATGGATGTTCAATGACTCCTACCTTGCGAGATGTTGGTTCTTTATCCCGTGTTAAAATCTGAAACACAAAAACCTAATGCTCTGGGATGATCAGTCTCAAATAAATACTCGTATAAATTGACTAATTTGAATGTTCAACCTAATGTTTAATATACTCGTAATTAATCAAACGCCTATACAAATTCCTATTCCAAAACAAATTTACACACCTCCTGGATAGTAAATAAAACATTTAAAACCCACACAAAACATTGGTATTGCTGAACAGAAATTACCACTATCGTTCGTCTGGGTGCAATTTTTATTTTAAAAAAATACACAGATTTGTTCGCGGGATAAACCCACGTAAAACGACCTCTTCAGGAATATAAAAATGACGGCAAATGCAAATTCTTTATACAAAATCCCAAAAGAGTAACAGAAAAGAACTATTTCTACGTAATTACACCTACCTATTGCAGTAAATAATTACTGGTTGTCATAGTTCTGTAGCTATGGTGACGGTACACAATCAGACATCTTCTTAAAGTCAGCAAATCAATTTTGTTTTTCAACATAAACTTTTATTATGGATTGCAATAAAATAGAAGAAGATAAAGACAGTGTTGTATCTGATCGATGCTGGGAAGAAAAACACAAAGGAGATAGTAGAAAATGGTTGATAAGGGATGGATCAAGACGAAATTCCAGTGGACAAGCATCGGTAATGAGAGCAGATTATATATTTCCTGAAAGTGATGAACGGTACTTTATAGGTAAGTTAGCTGGCTACAATTCCATCCATATTTTTTTCTCCTAGTCAGTTTAAACTAACAAAAATACAAATTGAACCAGGTACTTACTCTTAAAAACCCATTTGTACGTTTTTTAGGAAAGCGAAGAGCTATGATCAAACAAAAACTGTTTGAAGAAGTTGCATACGAAATTATTGACGAAAGCAAAGTGCCACCTCCTGTAGAAGAATATTGTACAGAATATGATACCCAATTTCATTATCCTCAATACGACTCTAATAAAAAAGTGGAAAGAAACACAGAGGTAAATGTTTACTTAGATATGGATAGGTTCTACATATTCGTGGATAGTTGTTGCACAGATTAACTAGTAGTGGTATTGAATATTGAATAGAAATGGTGAAACCGCGCGAATGAAGATAATATAGTCAATATACATACAGAGTGGCCCAACGAGAAGTATACAGAGGGCTTTTGGGGTAGGTATTAAATTTAGAAATTTCGAAAAATCCTCGAACACGTCAATTTTGCATTCGAGGGGGACAACTTTTGGAATACAAATCACGAACCCAAGTCTTCACCCTTCTACGTAGGGAGCTTAACCCCTAAAATTTTAAATGGAATCCTATGGCAAATGGCACATTATTTGAAAGCCAATTTAATCGTCATTACTAATCTGCTTTGCTTTTTAAATTCTATTGATTCGTTTCGGAGATATTCGCATTTGAAATGGTTTTTTCTAAAAAACCAAAACAAATGCGATCTAAGTCACCTTGTATTAAAATTTTTAATACAAGGTTTAAATTGTGCAAAAAATAACAAATAACTTTAAACACACAACATTTATTTCAATAAATGCTCGAATTGCCTTCCGCCTTCTTCCATGTAATAATAAAGATTTGCTTCAAAACGCTGCCGCACATGTTGCAAGATTTCAGGGGTAATCGCTCGAAATTGTTGAGTTATACCATAGTGTATTCTATTCTTACACTATGGTTATACGTGCTCGCAACCCTTGTAATGTTCCGGGCGGAGTAGCATAAACTTTATTCTTTAAATATCCCCACAAGAAGTAATCTAAAAGACTTAAATCAGGGGTGAAGACTTGGGTTCGTGATTTGTATTCCAAAAGTTGTCCCTCTCGAATACAAAATTGACATGTTCGAGGATTTTTCGAAATTTCTAAATTTAATACCCTAAACGCCCTCTGTATACTTCTCATTGGGCCACTCTGTATGATATTTATCCAGTGGGAGATGATAGATTGCATCATACCATGATGTAATTAATATATTTTTATTTTACAGCTATTCCTCAAGTATCCTTTGTATTCATCTGAAGCAGCAACTTTCTATAAATGTCAACTAAACAAATGCCCAAGAGGTGAAGCAGCTATTGACGGGTATACATCATCTAAGACTCCATTTCGGAAGTGTTCAGAATTTACTAAGGAACAATCCGGCGATTTAAGTTTTTGACTAAGAACTACAGAAACTACAGCAGCCTTGTACTAAAAATAAATTATTTGTCATTTTATAAAGATCGTTTTTGTGCAGTCATAGATTAAATGAATCTATGGGCAGTTGAGTTCCGTGTATATGTCGTAGTCTTTTAGTGAAATCCGTCATTTCACGAAACGCCTAGTCCGAGGCCTAGTCATTTAGTGAAACGCTGAAAATTTGTACGTGTGGGGTAATTTCCCTTCCCCTTCTAGATCGATAAGGATACCATTTATCGATTTCCAATGGGAACGGAATCCAATCGCTTGGCCCTGGAAAGTACACTGTGCCACAGTTTCATATAAATGACTAGGCGTTTCGTGAAATGACGGATTTCACTAAAAGACTACGACATATATAAAATACGGATATGCACTCCCTTGTGCAAAAATCACATAAGTACAACTTGAAATCAAGAGTCTGTGGGTGGCCCTACGTCGTTGATCTGTGAATCAATATCGACAAGTTTTTTTAACCCAAAATCGCCCTGAAACCTTAATTTTCATGCCGACTTTCTATCAGGAAATTTTAGTTTCCATGACAGAGGCAGAGCAGACTACGTTTCCTGCCGCTTGTCACTTTACTGGCCGCATCGTCAGTTTATGATGTCACACACTTGATAGATGGTACATCGTTTAGCGTAAGTCATTGAACTATATACTCTGTAACTGGAAGGGCATTTTTATTTTTTATTTATTTATTATCCCTCTCTTGTTCTGGGTCCTCAACAGGCTTGCGCCCAATACAGAGTGATCCGCATAATGCTTGAGGTGCCTCTGCAGCAGGTCTTAAGTTGTTCTATACTACTCCGGTATTTACCTTACGAATTAGGAAAACTGCAGGAAAGCCTAATTCGGAGTAGCCGGCAGAATGCTCGAAACTGGTCGGAGGTAATTCCCATCTCTGCCACTGTTTACGAAAAATTCAAATATGTACACTGCCGTGTTCAAAGACATACGCACATGTACACACATGCTATCGGAGATACGCTATATGACACTGAGATCATTTCCATTTTTTTACCAAAATCTCAAGCCAATAGCATTTAACTAACCGTCAGTAACTAAATAAGATAAATTTGGGTAATTGGGCGCCCATGGGATCACTGGACCATTCTCCAGCGATTTTGTTCGTGAATGCTACAGATGTTGTTGAGTTGTAAAATAAACTACCTAACCATTGAATAAAAAAATTTTATTCAATGACCTAACTGAAATAAACACGGAGATGACTGGTTTGTTTTAAACCAAAGCACAAGCTTTCAATTAAGAGGAGGTATAGTTCAAAGGTGTTTGGCAGAAGTGTGTACTAATGGATTAGACCATTTTGTATTGAAAGCATAGGACTAATAGCAGTCCATGATGGTCACAGTAGCGTACGCAGGATTTTTTTTCGGGAGGGGCTGAAACTCGAGAATTAAGACCAAAGTATGTAAATTTTCACGTATGTCGTACACATTCGCAAGATCAAGTACCTAAGCGAAGGAAAAAGTAAGGTAGTTTTTCCAGCAACTGCAACATTTTTATTGTCGCTTGGCATTTAAATAATTATACCATGACTGACGACTTACGGGATGTGCCGCTGAGTAGTTAAGTCGATTATTTCGGGGGGGGGGGCTGTGGCCCCTTCAGCCCCCCCCCCCCTTGCGTACGCCGGTGGATGGTCGATTAAGTATTAGATTTGGTAGTCATTAAAACAACATAGTTCTTGTGACGACTCCCGCCGCTGATAAAATTTACTAACCCGGTGAGAATTTAAAGATAAAAATATATTAGAGAGGCTGCATATTCAGCAGGAATTTGGAAATAATTAGAAACCAAGCAACCAATTTCTGGGACACAAGACGGCACGAATGCGCGGGTGCATTGTCGTGGTGAAACAATAATTCCTTCTTCGCTAATCCAGGTCGTTTCTCTGCAAATGGCCCAAAAGGACCGTGGCTTTCTTTCGGGAGTGTAGTGGTTTGGTCCATAGTAACTAAACCACCGCATAAGGGTCATTCGAGGCTTTCGCAATAAGCTCAAATATCCCTCCTCGGACTTCAACACCGAAACAAAGAGGAACTAATTTTATATAACGGGCGATCAAAAATTAGTTGCTGCCGGAGTGGCCTTTGGAAGATACGAATTAAAAAATTGAACGATTTCTGAAATTAGGCAACCAACATTACTAATAATTCAGCTATAAGAGACCGGGACACTTCGCCGAATGCCCACTACGCCGACACTACTTTTGGATGGTCCATATCGCCATAGTATCAATATTATAATATCGCCGACTAGGGACACTACGCCGACCGTGCCAGATCGTCGACAAGGGACACAACGCCGACCATGCCCACTTCACCGACGAACACTACGCCGACCGTACCCATATCGCCGACAAGTGCACAAGGGAGACTAAGCCGAACGTGACTATAACGTCGACTCATACAATACTTCTTAATGAAGCTGGACGGTGTGCAACACCAAGCAGCTTTTGACGTTACGTTATTGTAGGTTTAGAATTTTTTTTTAACTTTTTTCGAATTACATAATTCATACGAAAATTGTTAATCAAACTGGACGGAGTGTGAAGCAAAGCAGCTTTGGTTATTAGGTTATTTCTAGGTTTTGCACATTTTTTTCAAACTTTTTAAAATGCAAACTCATACACTGGACAGAGTATGAGGGGCCTGGATTTTCGAACAGTCGGCGTTGTGGTCACGTTCGGCTTAGTGTCCCTTGCACACGTTTCGGCGATTCGGTATTAACATGGTATAATATAACAAGTTAAAAAGTAATCGTAAACGATTTACATAAAGCGCATTTCCACTTGCATTCATTTCCCATTTGTAAGATGCAACTTCTGTTAAAATCGTAAAAATCCGGCCACAAATATGAAAGATAGCGTTGCACATGGGCAATCCATTTTTGACGTGCTACTTCAATTTCAGTTTATGAGAAAATTTCATTTCAATGCTTTTCTAAATAAGAAAGTTGGAACTGCGCATGCGCAAACCTAAATTTTAAAACTAATGTTAGATTTTCCTTTGTTCCAAGCGCCAAAGTATCAAATTTCACTTAAATGCTTCCATAGATAAAAAAAGTTGGCACTGCGCATGGGCAAAATAAAATTTTTAAACTGGCGCTAGATTTTCCTTTATTCCAAGCACCTATTTATCAAATTTCATTTAAATGCTTCCATAAATAAAAAAGTTGACACTGCGCATGCGCAAAACCAAATTTTGAAACTGGCGTTAGATTTTCCTTTATTCCAAGTGCCTATGTATCAAATTTCATTCAAATACTTTTATAAGAAAAAAGTTTGCAATTCGGTTTATAAATGGTCGAGATGCGAAAAGGGCACTGTGAATTTTGAATCGATTCGACTCAACTTTTGGCATTGCGTATTGTATGGCTAAGGCTATGCCCATATTGAATTTCATGCAATTCAGTTCCTAACTAACGGAGATGTAAAAGCGATCGGACTTTTCTAAACAAAATTATCGTTCACACGGACAGATAGAGGGACAAACAGGCAAAGGAACAGACGGACAGACCAACAGACAGACGACAGACAACAATACAAAATTATAAATGATCTCTAGGATGGTTAATAAACGGCAAAAGTGAAAAATTATGGAACATGTAAAAAACGGTTTGTTGGTTTTTTTACAGTAACTTTTTTAGCAATAAACACAGAAAAAATTCCTTCCTTGGTGCAAGCCTCGACACCATAACGAACCAAATAGCGAAAAAAGTAGAACAATAGCTCTTAAGATAAAGAACTACTAGCGTCGCAAAACGAGCGGACGGACGGACAGCCGGACGGACGGACAAAGTGGCCACAATAGCGCATTTTTTTTTATTTTTGTGGAAATGCGCTAAAAAGGTATTAACATGGTATTTGAGGTACATTATTAATATATCTATGTTTTAAGTTGTACCTTAGCGACATCTAGAAGTAAATAGCTGCACTACTGCTGCTTGCCGCCATTGTGATTGATGAAACTTTTTAGAAATTATATCTTTGTAAATGACTCCTGGTCCCAATATTGGATTTTATCGGGCGGAAAACTTTTTCATGTGCAATACAGGATGGAATACAATATGATGTAACCTCTTCTCGAAATGTCTATACTATCAGCAAAGATCATTGATCTTTGCTATCAGTTAACTAAATGGAAAAGAAATACTGCCTGACCTCTGAACAATAATACATCACATGCATGCTCGGTGTTAAATAGACTGGTCAGGGTGTACAGCGATTTATGGGATTAGACAAGAACAGTAATACACTTACTTAGTGCTAAAAAATTGTACAGTTAAAAAAATGTTATAGCCAAGTATATCAAGATTTAATTATTTGGCCACATTCAGAAAAATAATGCCCTAAAATCACGATCTAAAATAAAGACATGTGCAAACTGCTAGATAAATTGTGAAGCAATATCACGGTAGAAAGAGACGATGAATTTAGACTCAATTTATCATACTTCCACTATTGAAATCGTATCGTTTTCTTACGAAAATCACGATCGCGCGCATTTATATTAAACGGAGGACAAACCTAAATAATTAAGAAAATATTTATAGAAGATAAATTGTAACGGGCAATGAAAAACATAAAAAAGAAGCTTATCCATATGTGAATAGACGAGTAGAGTACTTTTGAGGGGATAAGGTCGAAAACTGTGTAAGCGTCAACTGTGGTTACGATTAGTACATAACTATATTGGTTTGGTTATTGTAATATTTATCCTGAATAAAGATAACTTTCAAAAAAAAGTAGGTACAATGTATATGTAGATACATATATTTCTTTAAAAAAACGTGTTAAATAGGCTACCAGATGAAACAGGTACAAACTGTAAAACTAAACATAAAGTCAAAACCTGTGTGTAACTATGGGTACTACGAGTAGGTAGATTTATATTGATCAAACAAATGTTGTAGGTATGTATAGTACCTAGTTTAAGTAAATACATAAATAAAGTAATACATGAAACTATAAGTATAGTAAAAACACAAATCAATATCATATTCAGTAACGAGTTAAATCGTTGCCATCCGGTGGCAACGGTTAAATGCATGTTGCATAATTATCATATCATTTTTATGGAGAGATTATAACACATTTGTTTATTTATTTTCAAATTATGTAAAAATAGGTTTATTTAGTAATTGTTCTTAATACACGACTGTGATTTAATCATTATCAATACTACTATATTACTAATTTATTGTTTTAGGTTACTTACTTTTCTCTACCACACGTGGGAAATTTATGTTACTGCTAGGTACCGATAATGTAATTGGCAAGTAATTTGTACTAAAGAAGCCGATTTTTATGAGAAATAAGCAACGTTAAGTTTTCTTATCACTGAAAACCACTTAAAACGAGATTACAAAGGGTTTGCTAAATTAAAGCAAACAAGCAAATGATGAGTAGGTACAAAAAAAACTAAAATAAATAAGTACATGTTCCTAATTGTCTACCTACATAAGATCTATGGTCATTTTATAGTCCAGGCAAACACTCTCTACAAGCATCCTTAACATCTTAGATAAGTAACTATCACATGAAAAATTATACCTTCAATGCTAAAAGTTTATAAAAATATGTTTCCTAAAAAAACTTGATATGTTGGCTTTGTCATTGCTTAAGAGTCACAAAAGAAATTTGTAAATAGGTAATGTATCTTGTTCTGGGAACAAAAATTAATTTCATATTAAATTTGACACAATGTGCTAAATATAAAAACAATACCAGATTATTAGGTTTTCAGTGCAAACTGGTATCGTAACAGTTGTTAGTTGTTATTTGACCGCTCAAGTAATGATTTCACCAAATTAACATTTATAAAGGGAAACAAATAGTATTTGGATATCATTATAATTAGACTTAACAGTATTAGAATCCAATTATGCGCATTTATGTCAGTTGCACAATATTTTTACAGAACAACTATTAACAGCTAACTACGTCCATGCACACATTAAGGACTAGGCATCGAGTCTGAGAGAACATCGGATGGAGTTCCATCGCTGGAATTAATTGAGAAAGCTCTATTCGGCGCCCTACGCTGGCGTAATACTGAAGGATCGAAATTGGGATGTCTCCTAGCGTGCTTGCTGAAAGAAGAAGAAACGCGTCAATGACAATAAAATAAAACAAAACGACGTACATTTGACCACGAACCAAAGCCGAAGATTAAGATGAACAGGACTTGTGTTAAATAAAGCCTTTGCAAGCTTTTATATTTTTTTATAATTATGGTTATCGCTAATTATTATTAATTCAAATTAGACCTTCGCATAATAGGGTACATGACAGTGGAAAAAGAATAAACAAATTTTTGTTTCATAAGATAGAGTAAGGTGTCAGGGTATCGCAAAATAACTTTCTTTGGTAATGTACACGAGAAACTACTATATTTTAGTAAAACTAAAATTAAAAAATAACGACATATGTCACGTGATATCAAACGCGTTTGTAGAGTTTGTCTACGTTTTTTAATTTAGTGCTTGTTCCATCTTATAGTGATTTGATTATATTATCCTAAAGTTTAGTTTTTAAAACCAGATAAGAATGGAAAGTGGGTATACGAAAGCTGATAGCAGCAAATCTGCTAAACATTGATGAAATGATGTTGGTAATATTTCTTGCATCAAACACAGATTTTTGTTCATCAGAAAACTGCCACAAGTCTTGTAGGTTTTTAAGTTAAGCTTAGATTTTTTACAAGAAATGTAGATATTTAAGAGGAATGTGTACTTAAGATGCTTTGTTTTTAGGTCATCGAAGCTATTATATGGAAATGATTCAGTAAGCAATGTCCACTTTAAGAGTTTTCTGTTACGAACATTTTATAGATAAAGGTCTAAATTTATAAAGTAGTTTTTAAAGCAAATTTTTTTGGAAAAACAGTTTTTATGGCGGACACTCTTACATTGGGTGCAGTCGAACAGAAGACTCTGGCAACTTATTCACAGTTAAGACAAAATTTGCTCGCAACATACGGTTCACGCAAATCTGTATGCAGTTTCCTTAGTTGTCGACGAAGAAAACAATTCTTTTCTTTGCCCTACCTCAAGCTACTTTTACAACCCCTCAGAGTCCAAAGGAGTACTAGTGTCGATAACTCCTTTATCACGTTTAACAAGTCATGATCTAGTCCGATTATTCGAAACTCTATCGGCAAATGGCTCAATCGGATTCGGAAGTTGTCCAAATTGTCGTCTACCGCACGCTTCCGTAGTTAACGTACGTGCAACATGCGCTACTCATGTCAATATAGTTTTCTATATTACGTTTAATGAGCAATCGTCGAAAACCCTTTTGGATTTCTCTACTCCATGAAGCATTTGAATGATACCGCATCCTTGGAACCAGATTTACCCGCCTGGGATACTTAGCTGTGCCACAGAAAAATGTGACTACTGAGCCCTACACCACGACAAAGTGTACTCCATGGTAGGGCACCACTTACGGTAGTTATAATTCATCACGAAATCTTTTAAACTATTTACGCTGGCGTTACGTGTTTATAATTGTCAGGACTGTGACGTCACAGACACCGCCATGACACAAAACAGCGTTTTGGCGCAGGAATAAAAATCTACAATTTAAATTGCATAAATTCGCAATAATATGATTTATTTTGCTGAAATATCATATTTTAAAGTTATAGTAGAGGTATACGAACAGTTATAACTGGTTTTAAAAAATTTGTCATCTACCCTATTGTAAGTGCAGCTTATGACACTTGTTTGAAATTGAAATTAAGCTTGGGTCAAATGGTCCAAAATGATCATGTTTGAATTTTGGTTAATCAATGATCAAAGTGCAACAAGCATAGGGGATTTGGGAGCCCAATGAATGACAAAAGTTTTAAATTGCGAAGACGAAAGAAAATAGCTAAATGCTAAAACTAATCGTTTTTTTTAAATCAAAATCACAAGTTACAATCGGTGGTTCGATTTGAAATGAACGTCCTGTATATGAAGTATATTACGCTTACCCGAAATGATAGCTAATAAACATTTTCTATACCTAACTAGGTATAAAAATATTGCATTACAATATAATCTATCAACAAAGAATTATGAAATTATTGAATCTTACAAAATATGATTGTTTGTAATCAGGCGTGTTTCTTAAAATTACTTCTTCATTCGGGCGCGATAGTCTAGGAAAATAAGAATTTTATCCTAGGAAACCCGATTTAAAATTTACACTTGCATTAAATGAAACTTTGGCTCAATCTTACTTCTAGAAAGGCGAGTGTTCTAAACTTAATTTGTTTAGCCTTCTTTAAACAAAGTTAAACGTTGTTTCACTATTTTACTATTTTTACTATACAAAGCTATGAACCGTATCTCTATAGTCAGCGATCCGTTGAAGAAAATTTCACCTTTTGGGAAATCGGTTGGAAATCAAATTGCATCACAAGTTCTATCAGACGTACAGATTACTGCTTGCAGAGGCTTTGCTGTTGAAATATCCAATTTGGACCAAATTTATATACATCGTTGACTTTTAATAATCAACACCTGTAAAGCGCCTCCTTGTGATGCAGGTACTTTTATTTTTAGGGCGTAAAAGAGTTTACACAAAAGCTGTAGGTAAAAAAGAGGTACACGTACGACGTACTTCTAAAGGCGGTGAAATTGAAAATTTAAAGGTTCTATAATATTTCGAACGGCGCATTTCACATGTCACGTTTCAAATTATTTTGCAAGTTGGATGAAATCGATCATTTTGCTATCAGACATGCACATTCTGAAAACACATTTTACGAGATCTAAAGCTTCCTGACGAAATGGAAAAATAAATCTAAATACGTCTTCCTTTCAAAAATATATACCTGGCCTGTCTGCAGAGTTCGTAGAAATAATTCTCTTTAAAAACACGCATTGTGTAATATATGCAGTTATTCAAATCCATTCCTCCTTCAGTGTTTTATCAAGAAGGCTATTAGTAACCCAGAAGCAGCCGGATGTAAAGATGTTTTTCAATTTTATTATAATGAACCCTCATTTAACGCTAGCGACTGCCATTATGATAAGAGATTCAATAAACCACGGATGTCACCCTTATAGAATAACTTTTACTAAACGCGACAATCGTTTACGGCCAAAGTTTCCTTTTGTTGATACGAAACTTCGTTTTTGTTTCAGAGTGACGATGAATTTAACTTTCTTAGTAATTATAAATAATTTGTTTCTAGCGACCATTTTTTTAAAATAAAAGACAATATTAAGTCTATCATAAATAGAAATTTGTAGATAATTTACAAGCTTCTACAAGAACAACTTTATTGTGCGCAATGACCCCAAAAAAAAACCGTACCTGCATATTGGAACTAGCTCCATGCAGGTATCACAAATGGGCAAAAGCCAGATATCTAATTTCGCAATGGCTATATTTTAAATAATAATTAACGTTGGTAGGGCACATAAATTCGTAAAGACCTCATTTTCGGTAAAACAAAGTAATCAACGTGAGTGGAACAGGTAATTACGGCAGCGTTAATTTTAATTAGGTCATGTCCTTAAATTACGTCCACAATGGCGGTAACATTGATGGGGATCTAAGATGCAATTCATCTACAAGTAAATGCTACATGCAATATCAAATATTATATATTTAACTCGACTAATCAATCCCAAATGAAAGTCAATTACCTTGATTCATTGATTAGCATCTTGCACATTTGAGTTTCCTTCCACAAACCGCCAATAATGGAATTTTCTATCTTCTATTATTAACACGTAAAACAAAACCACTATTATACTACCATTTGATAACGACTGTACCAAATTTAAAAATAACCAATAAACATTCATTAACCTTGAAACAGGACGGGCATTAAAATATTTCCATATTTGTATATTCTTGTTTTCAAACATAATTAAAAATTATACCGAAACAAGGACGCCAGAGGCCCTCGGTATAAATATCGCCTTAATGCGCTTGATGCATAAATAACTATTAGGTATTCGCAATTACTACAGACAGATTGCCGTGAGTAATGAGACAAATCACTTAACATACTTATTTTTATAAATAATAAACGTGTAAACAAATCTAGAAAACGAGCTCCTGGTTATGGCTATAGCATGTGCAAAACCAAATTTTGAACCTGGTGGTAGTTTTGCTTTTATTTAAAGTGTTAGGTATGAATTATCATTTAATTAAATAATAAAGTTGGCACTGCGCATGCGCAAAACCAAATTTTGAAACTGGCGTTAAATTACCTTTTATTTCAAGTGCCTATGTGACTAATAACAAATTTCATTTACATCCCTTCATAAATAAGAAAGTTTGCAATTCGGTTTATAAATGGTCGAGATTAAAATATGAATTGTATCATATTAGTCATTTATTATTCATTATTTTATAAGTCTAAGGCTGATATCAAGAATTATCGACCCAAAGCTGTTATGTCTACCATCTCAAAAGTTTTTGACGAGCTAGTAACAGACCAACTGTTTCCCATACTTCAGACGGAAATAATTGATGAACAGCATGGTTTCCTTCCAAATCGTTCGATCACCCCTCATTTATTAGCGTATCAACAACATATTGCTTGCTGCCTTGAAGGAAATATTCAACTGGATTCAATATATGGCGACTTCACTTAAAGCCTTCGACAGAGTTAATCACCAAATACTGATCTCCAAGTTAAATCGTATCGGACTTGGTGAACCGCTACTATATTGGCTTCATTGATATTTGAGTGGACGCACACAAGCTTTATGGCTCAGTGGTAGAGCGTTGGGCTATAAATCCGGAGGTCGGGTGTTCGAACCTGGGTTGAGGTGAATTTTTCATCTGTGGCGGAGATGGAAACCTATTATGGTGGTTTTTGTCTTTTTGGTCCGATAATGGAGGCCTGCCAAAAATTTGACTGAGTAAAAGTTGTACGTCCATACTCGTAACAGTTTTAAAATAATATTAACATTTCTGTCCATATTTCAATTTCCACCTGTAATTTTTTAAATTTTCTCGTCATTGAATGCGACCAATTTCTAGTTACTTTTGCATTTCTGTGTTTGCCTCTCCGATTTAACTTGTCTTCTTGTCAGAGGACATTTTGTTTGTCTAGCTTTTTTTTATGTTAACCATTAAATTACCTTATATGGTCATGTATCAAATACTGCTCTACTATTCGTCAGAGATAACTATCCGTAGCTTTGGCTTGGGTAAAATTTCGAAACTTGTAGCGTCTTCCAGCAACCTGCAATAGAATCGGTCATGCTAAATTCCCGAATTTGGGTGTTTGATATATTTTGCAATGGTCGAATTGATTTAATACTTAGCGGGAGCATCTTTAATCAATTTTTTCCGAAATGGACTTTTAATATAGAAAACTAGCTCAAGCATTCCAAATCCTAAGTGTTTTCTTGTGCACGGATTGAAGTTACCACTTACCGATGTTCTTTTTTCTATTGTAGGGGAAGAAATACCGACCATATAGTAAATTTTGAAGTCATTTGGGACGTATCCAGTTCTTTTCTTTTGTGTACTCTCTGAATAAGAGGCTAGCATTATTGTGGGTTATAACGTACTCGTAATTAGGTTACTTTTTAGAGTCTTTAGGGTTAAATTTTGTGTTAATAGTTCATGGGAAGATTTCATTTTTTTAATTTTGCATACTCTTTGATTAATAAACGATAATTTTTCTTGTGGGTCAATTGTTGACTCTTTTTATACTGAAGCTACCTTTCCTAATTCCGGTGGCTGCAGTTAAAATTGTTAGCGGAATTAGGTGGCGCCCGTAAGACTTGAATCGAAGCACCAGTAAGTAAGTATTAGTCTCGGAGATTTACTTGGAACCTTTTATAATTTGTGGTGAAAGTTTTTAATTCACTTACCTACTACCCTGAGTAAGAGCATATCTCTCTACGCTGTTATTTGGCAAACGGAGCTAGCTGGCCGATCACCCGCGTGTGTTGATTTCAAATTGCACATGGTATGGTATTTTATAGTGCCCTGCATTCTAAGCTTGCGTGTTATATACTCGACAAGAGCGAAAAAAATGCGTGCAGAGATTATCGACGCTATTATCATTGGTCGGTGACTCAAGAATAATTAACGCGCTGCTCCAATATAAACAGACCTATGCCATTGTTTAAATATGCTAAGTACATTGACACTTTTGTTCGCTTCGCTAGTATCGACCCTTATCACTTATCGCGGCTCCAACGTAAACGCACCCTATAGTTATTACATGATCACCCATTTATCGATCATTCTTTGTGTGGAGGTATTGAAACAGAAACAGAAAAAAGATTCTTGTTCAGGTTTTGCCTATTCCTAGCAAATAACTCAAAGCTTTTGATAAAACGAAATGCTTATTATGTGAAATAAGAAAAGATGAGGTATACGGATAGAATTTTAATGCAACATGGAAGTTACAGTGCATTTCCGTATAAAGCTCAGTAGTATAAACACCGAAGGTAATAATCGATTTGCACCGCAAAGCAAAGGAGCACGAACTGGTGCAATTTTATAGCACGATGTGACTAACGCAATCTCGAAATATCTTAAATGCGATAACGAGAATTCAGTTTTAATATTTGGTCTGGTCCCTTCCAGAAGCTCTTTTAATATAAGAATTAAATGAAATTATTGTCGTCACGTCCCAAGAGCTAAGCCGTAGTAAATATCTACATTTAGCGAAAAAGTTACAATTAAGAGCTAGAATTAAATTTTGTAGGAAGATTTAAAAAGTTTAGTTGCTTTAATTCAAAGCATAATTGCTGACTAAGCGTGCCTGATATTTTAATTTTTATAATTCGTATTCCTTCCAGATACAGTATTTTAAAAACATCTTAAGAAGTTCTAAGACTAAATTACACAATTACGTACTTTTGAGAAAACGTTGAGAAAATTATGGAACGCTGAAAGATAAGGCGTAATCGTGAGTATACGTCTACGGTCTAATGAGAGAAACGGCAAAGAAAGGAATAGTGGTTTTACCTGAGATGATCGCTCCTCATGAACTTCTTATTACATACGGGACACGCAAAGTTTTTCTCTCCTGTGTGAGTTCGGGTATGCCTTGCCAGTTCGTCTGAACGTGCGAATCTCTTACCGCAACCATCCCAACTGCAAGGAAATGGCCGTTCACCTGAAATAGAAAAAGATTTTTTCAATACACCCAAATACAATAAGATCTTATACGTATAGACATACTTAAACGGGCGCATTTCCACAAAAATAATAAAAATGCTACTCCGATCACTTTGTCAATTCGTCCGTCCGTCCCTACGGCTATGTGACTTACTTTTTTTCGCTATTTGGTTCAGTACAGTGCTAAAGCTTGTACATTTGAATATAATATATTCAAAGCTTGTACCATTGTTGGTACAATATACAGCGATAGTTTGAAGAAGTAGACATTTAGGGATTTAAGTGTATTGTTTTTCTCTATGTCTACTTTTAAATAATAAAATCTCTTGGGAAGAGCGACCAATCATATGCCACTAAAATAACTTCTTCCTCTTTGGCTTCCGTATTTTTATTTTCGTTCATGTGCGATGTATTCAACTGGAAAAGGAAAGTTGATATTGGCCATTGGTATAGTGCTGGTAACAGTTTAAGGATTTACTTTCTGTGAAGCTTAAGCAGATCTTGTAACGTAAATTTAATCAAGTGATTTATTTATTTACAATAATTATGTAATAATACATTTATAATAGGCCATAAATTGCGCGTTTTATAACAGATAATTATTATTTATCACTCCTTTTTACCCAAATTTATTACTTGTAGATTTATAACACAAAAGTGCGAAATCAGTACCATCAATTCGGAGTCGATGTTAAAACTGCCTTTAAACACAATTCAATTTGCTTATATACCTAGCAAACGAAAAGTTTCTAGAAAACATCACATTCTGGAATAGTCTAGAAGGTGTATCATCAGGAAAAATGCCTCGCGTCCGCTTCCATTCCTTATAGCCACTGTTTTATCGACTTGATGGCGCCCCGATGTCTTCCTGGATTTATAGGATCTTCGCTACAATATATCCATCTCAAATAAAAAATTTATGCTACCCTACACACCTAGAGGTGCGAAACCACAATTCTGATTTCATTTGGCATGAACTAGGTGCAACCATTAGGTGCGACTTGAAAGATGCTGTTGTTAGTCCTCATTGATCGCTGTAATCGTAACTGGGATACAATGAATTTCATCTTGAATTTGGAATTCTGAATCTGATCTACATGCCTTGGTCGAGTTGTGTACAGTGTACTCTTCAAACAAACCCACAAGAAAAAATCAAGTTTCAAACTACCACCCTTTTTCAATAACACGTTTTTACGTCTATAACTTGCGCTATTTGACAAAAAGTGGAAACAAAAGTGCTTCTTTCCCTGTTCTTCCTGTAAGTTCAGCAGCACCTCCACCACTATCCCGTTATCCCCTGGGGTTCAAATTTTGTTCTTCTTTCCCGTTTAAAAAATGTTTCCGCACTTTGCCACGATCTTATCTCCTTCAGTAATTAGTTGTTCATGTTCATGTTCTGAGTTTTAGGTTTGCCCTTTTCTGAACATTGTTAACATTCGATATGAAATAATTTTTGGTTTGTATTGTCATCTTCTTCCATTTTTTCGGCTGAATTTCTTCCATGTTGCTTTCTTTGATTCTTTCGCGTCTTTGGATGGTACCAATTTATCAATACAACAGTAATTGATGATGTTTCGCCCCCGTGAAGTTGTATTTATATGTTTAGTTTGTTTCTAAAGTTCCAGTTTTTTTTACTTGTGCGAGCGCCCTGTTACAGTTCATGCCCCTCACTGTTGACACTTCGTGTCGGACAGACATTACCACCTCTATATTATACTCCTGACTAAGATATTACTCACAGACTATCTTTGCTCAAACTAAAACTTTCGCCACCTACCTACTTAATAAATCTATTCGTTCAGACTATTTTTTTCAGTTGTTTATTAGAGAAAGAAAAACTTGCCAACCGCAAATAGTTCGTATAAATTTACACTTTATGTACTACGAACCATACAAAAATATGTCCCATAAAAACTATCTTTAAATGGCGTCAATAAATTGTACAATTAAGCACCTAGTGATAAATTATTCTAGTCACTTTGCTAATGGAGGTAAATAAAGCATCAATTTGTAAAACGAATTTCTAGACGGTCCATAAACCAAAATCCAAAGTTAATCTGTTGACCTCTCGATATAAATCATAAGATTGCAATCTCTATACTTCCTTAGTGCTTCCAAACTTCGTACTGCTAATTAAATTACTGCTATACTTAATTAGAAGACGTTCTTAATTGGAGTATGCTTTATATCTAATAACAAATAGAAAGGTGTCTAACGAGATTACCGTCGTATTAATTAATCTCTCACGCCGAGATTCCCAAATACTGTTTATTGTTTGACATTTGAAATGTTAGTGCATATTTATTTGCATATCGCATAATGAAACCTGCGGAAGTTTACATTTTGGCTTGTAATTGCACGCAATAAAATCACGGGAATTACATTTATGCATTTTCGCAGGATTAGGTATTATTACGATATTGAAACAAATTTTGCAAATCGCTCATCCACGAAATGCATTAGCGGTATAAAAAGTACGAGCTACATTTTACAATCGAGTTATTTCAATTTTTAAAATAAACCACCCTTTACGTTCCAATTATTCCGCAACTTCGCCAGTTATCGGTGATTATACATTTATTTGCATAACGAATGTGTATGACATTCAAATTTACTAAATACATAATTAAATGGCATTACATTTAAATTTATACCCCTTCCCTTGTAAACGAGCTTGTAAATGTATTAAATTTGATCATGGAGTTGATATATTTTAGTTTCAGATGTTAATTTTCATGAGAAAATTTTTGTATAAGTATTGAAAAAGTTGCTGCTGGTACATAAGAAACCAGCAATATCTGGAAATTACATACGCATATCTTGTAGCGGCGCTAGGCGTCGACGATCAGAGTGGCATTAAACCTTGCGAAAAACCTAGGGGTTTATATTCCACACTTTAATTTATTTTGGTACGTACATTGAATACAACGCAGGGCGGTCATCGAAAACAAAATAGAGCAGTTTTCACTACATGAGTTATCGAAAAACACTTGGACCCAAGGATGCTATATAGCTTGGACCCGTCGATTGCTTCAGAGGGACATTTTTTATGACGGAAGTCACCAATTTCTTGAAAACATTATCTTTCCATACAATGAGTACAAAATACTACTACTAGTTTGGAAAGTTAATTTTCCCGCATGAGCGCTTGGTTTTTTATCATTACCTCTAAAATGATAAATGGCATAATTGTTGCATTTTTTAAGAATTAAAAAAAAATGTGCTATTGTTTGTGTTTTGTCCGTCAGTCCGGACCAACTTCTGCCGTTTTGAACTACTTCTAGGGGAATGGTCCTAGAGTCCTGGAATTTTTTGCAATAGGTAGCCCATACCTTGAAGGTGTGCCAGATGGCCATCAAATTTCGCTGTGTAAAAGACCCCCCCCCCCCCCAACGAATTATTTCCTCAGATGCTGTTTTTGATAATAAAACGCGCATGACAACCAATTGGTCTCAGATTTTGCATACGCATGCCTTTAGTAGTGCTAAGTTAAACTTTACAAAATTGGAGGGGGGTGGGGGGTAAACATATGTTCTACCCTTCATGGTATTCTAATGAAATGTCTCATCGAAATAAATTGGTTTGTACAAATTATAACTTTCCTGTGCGACTCTTTTTAGAGATCAATGAGCGACGAGGCTTAAGGGAGGGGGAGGGGGTTAAAAATTAATTTTATCTCTCATTGTATTCTAATTAAAGGTCTCAACGAAAGGAACCGTTTTCTACTACTGCCCTTCTTTCTGTCCTCTTATCAAAGTACGGGGTAGAGGGGGAGGGAGGAGAGTGGAACTAGTTTTATCCTTCATGGTACTCTCATGAAAGGTCTCAACGAAAGGAATTAATTCCTACCAACCATAGTCCTCCTCCTCGACCTCTTACCGTGATCGGGTATAATCCCTTATACCTCAAGAATGGATTGTTGGAAGAGGATATTCACAAAGGACGATTGAGACATCTGCAAGAAATATATCCATTGGTGATGTCAAAACAAAAGCTATTTCGGTTTAAAAAAATGCGCTTTACCTGCCCAAGAGTTGTGCACAATTTATTCTTGTTTGTATCTCCATCTGCTATTAAATACATACTTCACCATTTCATCACAATTTCATAACCATAAAAAATAAAATATATATAATATAAAATAAAAAATCTCTCAACAATTTCACGAATATTTGGATTGATCAAAACTGCTCCATTCTCCTGACACCTGACACAGAGAGGTGTCGTCAGGCTGCCGACGTGGCGCTGTCTCTAGTATAACAATATGGAGTGGTGGGAATACCCGGACGGGTTGCATGACGTTATTAAGCCCCCCAGGTACGATCGTGAAATTCATAAAAATGGCTAGAGATCACTTTAATTAAGCGTTTTTATAAAAAAATTTGCGGGAGATGCCTCAAACTTTCAACAAACTTAACACTAAGTTCACATAACGTAAAATAATCTTGAGAATTTGGTGGAATTATTTTCGATGAAGCACCTTGTTGCGTTGTTGCTAATGCGCTTGTATAAAATCAGGATCGTTCGAGGTTAATCGTCGGTCGATAACAAAGAGGTGGTCAATGGAAGATGCGAAAGGTGTCTTTTCCTCTTTGGAGTGATAATGCGGCGGTCGATACGAAAGAATGAGTCTACGAAAGATGCGAGAGGTGCCCTAAGTTTTCCCTCTCGATGTTGGTACGGAAAAGGCCATCCTTGCCAAATGCAAAAAATTGTATAGTGTATTATACCTATTATACTTCTTTTATTACATTAACTGTTTTTGTACACGTTAAACCCAGCATGTTTCAATTTAGTAGACGAAGAAGTTAACATAACCTCTTACAAAAATTAGCTGGCATTTATTTATTTATTTTAAAAAAATTAGCTGGCACTTCTGATTTTTCAGTTTCACCATCAACTTAAGGATGACAAAATATAAGTAACATAATCTCAGATTTCGACGAATTGCAGTGATCTTGTAATTAAGATTGTGCAAAATTTTGAGCTTCTCTCGCACATTTTTTTGTTGAAAACAATTAAGGTGCCTTCTAGCCATTTTTATTAATTTTATGATAGTAGCTGGGGGCTTAATAACGTCATGTACCCCAAGGACGCTTTCACTATATGTTATTTTAGGTGGTCAGAGATGTTTATCCTGGTTTTCCTTGAAAAGTTTCCAAATAAGGCTGGCTTGGAGTACCCTGGTATATACCCTTAAAAGGATTCTTAAAGAAACAATTATGTTGTGCGAAGAAAATAATTTACAACAATTTCGTTTCCAGCTTAATATGCCAAGATGCTGCTGATATGTTATTATACAAAATAGAAGGACATTTTCATCTGTGAATATGGAGTTTTGAAGTGTACCATTTGTAAATCTTTTGTATTCGTAAAAAACCGAAACGTTCGTATAAAGATTATCAGAAATTGGATAGATTGAAAAGCAAAATGATGTTTTATTATTACGATTTGCCGATTGACCAATAAAGAGTTGGAAATGGCACCGCAGAACTCATTACTTTACTCTGGATAACCTCTAGGGTATAATAGGCAACAAAACTGTTTCAAATTATCATCGCATTTACTTGCTACGGTTAGTATCACAATACTATTATAGAGTCATTCACTGCAGAACATTTTGTGAGACTATGATTGCAAATTGCCAATTACGTTAAATTAAGCTTGCATTGTTCCCCACGACACGTTAAAAACAAAGCTATCCGCACACAATCACGATTGAAGTTTGTCTTTCGATTTCGACTTTGGTGAAGTTAGCGCTTAATAATCATTAACGTCTGTTAAAACGCCATTTTCAGCATAATTTAGAATTCTTGCATTGAATATCTTATTCAATGGTTAAATGCTTAAATTGAGACGTAGGATTGACATTCGTGCAAACTGTCTGTTTAGCGTAATATCAATTTATATACCCTTTCAAATATTCATTTACGCATTAGTCAGTTACCACATTAAATTAGTATGCTTGCTGAATTTTCTGAATGGGGATAATTGCAAAGGGTTTTAAAGCAGTTTAAATACCGCTTTTAAATAAATTTTAGACAGTTTACGCAATCAATTCACTTAAAATTTGTAGCCTTTCATACCGCGCACATAATATGTGGGATGAATTTAGCTCGGTCCATTGTATATCATCAATAAGTATTATTCGTCTCCTGAAACTTTTGGATTATTTTTGGTCTTGCAAAAAGGGAGTTTATTTTTAATATCACTCCCCAAGTAATGTTAAAATTATTAAAATTTTTGGGATCCATCCATATGACTTTGGAGCTTTGGTTTATCAATAGATGTGAATGTGGTCTTTGTAGGATAAGTAATTTATTTGCTTTACTTGCACTCATTCTCCACAAATGGGACTATACAGGATATAACGTATTCCAAAACAAAAATCCGATACAACTGAATACCGAACGATCCTCGAGACCTTCGCATAGGTATACATCATTTTTACAAAAGAGATTGATTCTGTCCCACCAGATCAGCATAGTTGGTAAAACACATTTTTGAATCGGTATTAGTTTTACTTTTATTCGAGGTGCATACACACAAAATTTCATGCAATTCGGTTCATAACTAACGGAGATGTCAAAAAATCGGATTGCACGTGCGCAAATAGTTATTTGTTTCATTAGTACAAAAAATGTCAGTTTTCGGGACGAGGAAGAGAGTTGCTGGACGACGCGTTAGCGGAGTCCAGCAACCTTCCGAGTCCCGAAAACTCATTTTTTGTACGAATAAAACATAAAATTTTTTCTCCAACCCCC